CACTCTCAGAGGATGGTAGCCTCAGACGTACAGTGTAACCTCTTTAAGGGCAGGGACTGTCTTTCTTTTTCATACTCGTATCCCCAGTGCTTAGCACGTGCCTGGCACCTACTAGGCATTTGATAAATGTTCACTGACTATTGATACTACCAATCATTCCCCAATCAGATTCACTTCTGGATGTGGCATACCCATTCAAGTATTTGCTCCTTTGTGTGCAGAATGTGGCGTCCCAGCTGCAGGGTTGATTTACTACTAGGCTGGGTCCAGCAGGTCACTCCAGCTGCTGGCGGCTTCCGGTGGCTCTTCTGGTCTTTCAAAGTTCACCAGGTTGTAATCTGGTCCATTCCATCTTTGATACTTAGAGGAGCAAGGAATAAATACAATAGAAGTAAAAAAACTGCCCTGCAATGCACTCATGGCTACATAATTCTTGCCTTGGTTGGTAAACTCCCTAGTAGGTAAGACAGATATTGTCTGATTCTCATATCTATTTATCCAGCCTGAACCTCTCTCCTAACTTCCAGACTCATATCAACAAATGCCTACTGAACATCTCAAATTGTAGATACCTTAAACTTAACATGTTCAAAAAGTGAACTCATTATCTTTTTTAAATTATTATTAATTTATTTTGATTTATCAACAATCACTTCCATATGCTGTTGAGTTTAAAATTTTTCTCCCCCTTCCTCCCCACCACCCTCCCCAAGATGGCACACAATCTGATATAAGCTATACATATACATTCCTATTAAACATTTTTTCACATTAGTGATGTTGTAAGTAAGAATTAGAACCAATAGGAGGAACCACCAGAAAGAGAAAACAAAACTCAACAAAAGAGAAAAAAAATAGCCAATAGTATGCTTCAATCTGCATTCAAATTCCATAGTTCTTTCTTTGGATGTGGATAGTATTTTCTATCACGAGGACTTTGGAGATGTCTTAGATCCTCATATTGCTGGGAAGGGTTAAGTTTATCAATATTAGTCATCGCACAACGTTGCTGTTACTGCGTACAATGTTCTCCTGGTTCTGCTCACTTCACTCAGCATCAGACCATACAAGTCTTCCCAGGTTTTTCTGAAGTCAGCCTTGAACTCATTATCTTTTACCACAAACCTTTCCCCTTTCCAAATTTTCCTATTACTATCCAGGGTACCACCACCTTTTCCAGTCCTACAGGCTCAAAATCTAGACGTCATCTCTCACTCTCCATGTTCGATCTGTTGCCAAGTAGTCCTTTCAATTTTATCTTTGTGACATTTTTCATATATGCCCCTTCCCTCCACTGCTACCACCCTGACGTTATATATAAGGATGCAGGTCTACCTTTTCTTTGCCCATGAAATAAATCCCATGAAGTGCCTGTGTGGCACAGGGAGCAGAAAAGCATAATGCATTCCGACGGGGATTCCTTGCCTATGGGTGAGCCAGTCACGTAAAACTTTGGGAAATGGACTCTTTGGCTTGTTTTGTTAACGATGCTCAAATCTATTTTGCCGTAATTGGGATCAGCGCCCTATGCAGAAATGCAAATTGCCAACCAAAAATATGGGGATCAGGGCTGCTGAAGCGAATTTCAGTGCACCAGGGACCATCAGCTATTTCAAAGCACAGAGGAATGGTGAAGAGGGTCAGAGAGACATATCAAGGATGCCCTTGCCTTCTTATTTAAAATTCAAAGGTCCTTCTTGCATAAGGGCTCTGGGCACATTCACAAGTCTTTCCTTTTCTTTTATCCCGTGACATGAGAGTAGTCAGAAGTTTGGAGAGAACAGGAGATAGATGTTCAGATACTCCAGGCAAGTGCACCTGATTTCCTTCTTTTCCATTTTTTCTACATATGATAAACTAAGCAGCCACAGAATACTGTTTGCCTGAACCTAATAAATGTGTGGATTTAATTACTATTGATTAAAGAAATGCAAATCAAAATGATTCTGAGGTACCATATCACACTTATCAGATTGGCTAACATAAAAAACAGGAAAGTGATAAAATGCTGGAGAAAATGTAGGAAAACTGGAACACTAATGCATTGTTGGCTGTGAACTGATCCAACCATTCTGGACAGCAATTTGGAACTATGCCCAAAGGGCTATAAAAATGTGCATACCCTTTGACCCAGCAATAGCACTTCTAGGGCTGTATCCCAAAGAGATCACACAAATGGGAAAGGGATCCCTATGTACAAAAATATTTATGGCAGCTCTTTTTGTGGTGGCCAAGAATTGGAAATTGGTGGGATGTCCGTGAGTTGGGGAATGGCTGAACAAGTTGTGGTATATGAATGTAATGGCATACTGTTGTGGTATGAGAAATGATGAACAAGCAGACTTCAGAAAAACCTGGAAAGACTTGTATGGACTGATGTTGAGTGACATGAGCAGAACCAGGAGAACACTGTACACAGTTAACAGCCACCCTGTGTGATGACTAACTTTGATAGAGTCATCTCTTCTTAGCAATGCAAGGATACAAGACAACTCCAAAGGACTCATGATGGAAAATGCTGTCCACATCCAGAAAAAGAACTATGGAGTCTGAATGCAGATTAAAACATATTATTTGCTCTCTTTTTTCTTTCTTTTTGTTTCTTCTTTCTTGTGGTTTCTCTCACTGGTTCTAATTCTTCTTTACAACATGACTAATGTGAAAATAGGTTCAATATGTATGTGTATGTAGAGCCTATATCAAATTGCATGCTATCTTGGAGTGGGCGGAGGGAAGATATGGGGAGAAAATTTGGAACTCAGAATCTTATGGAAGTGGGTGGTGAAAACTAAAAATTAATTAAAAAAAGAAAAAAATGTACAGATTTAATATGAGAAAAAAAGACAGACCTGTCGGATTCAGCATGGAGGTTGAATCAGTGATGGGTGTTGTTGTTGTTTTTTCAATTTTCCAATAATTCCAATATTTTATATCAATCCTAAGACTAAAATTCTGAGCCCAGTCGGAGCGGAGTAGTTCAAGAATTGGGGGCTGAGTGCCCTCTGATGGCCAATGAGGAAACTGCAGCCTTTTAGGCCAACTTTTCCACAGGTGCCAGAACCACTCTGAGGGGAATACTTGATCGATGCCTTGAGAAGAGTAACATCTGGTGGAGAAATTAGATATTACACTCTTTCACTGGATAATTATTGAAGTGACCCCCTACCTTCCTGTAGGTTTAAGAATACACCATTCCATTTGGTTGCCTAATGCAGGTCCCAAGTTTCAAATGGGGGCACCCACCACAGCCTATAAGTGTCACATATGGGGAATCATCTGAGATAGTTTGATATTTTTTAAAGCAGGTTTGCCTTGGTGATACACAGGAATAACAAGTGGGGATGCTTACCTTGGTTTGGCTTTTTTTAAAACAATTCTGAATGATTAGTTGAATTTTGTTTTTGATTGTTTGCTTTTAAGGGAATATTTGTTCTCCTTTAGTTTTACATTTTGTGATATTTTCTTGTTTCTTTTTTGGAACTGTTTCTTTCCAGCTCATATGTACTTTTTATATTTATTTTTAATTTTTCCCCATAGCATTTGTACCTCTCACAATTAACCCACCGTCACTTCATAAGATCCCAAAGGTATTGTGCTTATGGTTATGTTAACTGTTGATACATGTTGCTCAGTAATTTGAACAATATCTGAACCTGCATGCTTCAGAGTGTGTTGTTTTGTGGTAGCACTTGACTATGGTTTTTTTTTTTTTAGGCAACTGGGGTTAAATGAGTTGCCCAGGGTCACACAGCTAGTAAGTGTCAAGTGTTTGGTCCGAGGCCAGATTTGAACTCAAGTCCTCCTGACTTCATGGCCAGTGCCCCAACATTTGACTACATCTGCATCACTTTGATGGTTTTTACTTATACGATACTCCATGCCTGGTTGTTTGCTTTGGCATTACTGATTTGCTGAATGCCATTTTAACTAAAATGTGAACAAAATGGGAGTAGATATTCTAGAAAAATAGTGTGAAGTCATGAATGTAAAGTCATCAAAAATATTTTAGTCCTAGAAATAGATGCTGAAAACTTTGAGAAATGCTACAAGAGATTTGAATAAATGAATAATTACCAATAACAAGTTCAAGCCAGGAAACATTACTTAGTCTATTTTTTATTAATTACTAAAGTTGATTACATCAAAATTTCAGATACAATGACAGCAGGAGATAACACCTGGAAATTGATCATAGTACTTCGGAAAAGGAAGACCTGATTAAAAAGGTAGAAGCCAGGCAAAGAAGGCTTTCCATTGGAAAAACTAAAAGCCTTGTTTAATTTGAGAAAAAATGCTGACTCTATATCTCCCATACCATAAGGAAATCATAGGCACAAGTTAGTACCTTGTCAAAAAAGTTCCCTGGAAAACCAACAGAAATTTGGATTGGTCACATGACTACATTATCTGTGCTGGTAAGATTCTGAGACAGAAAAAAATGAGTATACTACATGGGTTGTCTCTCAGGGGGAAGGGGGAGGAGGAAGCGAGGAAAAATGGAAGACAGTGCTTTTTCAGTGTACTGATCAGGTTTGCTGATTTTTTTCCCCCTCTTCTTCCTCTTTTTTTAATATGGGACTTCTTTCTGGTAGGGGGAGGGGAAACTATACTGAGAAAAATTCTGGTGTTACAAAAAACAAGATAACCATAAAAATGTATTATATAAAAAGAAAGTGTATTCTATTACATTCACGTATCACAGTTTGTTCAGACATTCCCCAGTTGGTGGGTATCCTCTTAGATTCTAGCGATTTGTGTTTCTTTTTCCCTCAACACTTTTAATCCTCCTTCAAGATCAGGAAGGTTGTTGTATTTGCTTCCCTGACCCCAGTATTATCCTCCTTCAACTCTCTCCTCCTACCCCTGCTTGTTGTAGTTGATGTATTTCTATACTAAACTGTTCATGTGTGTGTGCTCATTTGACCTTTCTGTTTCCATTTCAGATAAAAAGGAAGTTCATCTGATTCTGGTTTGTCCCACTCCATTCTCCACGTACGTATATTTTTCTTATACACCCTAATAATGAATGTGTCAGGCTTTGGATTACCTAAGATTAGAGGCATCCATGTGGGAAACATCAAGGACCTACTTCTGGGAGAAGACATTCTGTGTTCCCCTACCACATCTATAGGTGTACCCTTTTTCTATTGTCCGCATAGTAGAAATTTCCTGCAACTTTAAAACTACCAGACTGGAACACAGTCTCTGTCTCTGTCTTTCTGGTAGGGTGAAAATCTTGTTCACCTCCAGCGTAGGAACCATATACTGGGCTCGGTGGGTGGGGTGAACCTTCCCCTATCTTTTATGCCCTGGGGCTCCAAGAAACAGGCTTAGGGTTTAAATCTGTTTCATATGTTCTTTTCAGCTCTAGATAGAGAGTGGAATCCATGGCAACTTTGGAGCCAGGATCTCACCGGCTGGATGTTGCTGCTGACCCAGGAGGGAAGCCCTGAGAAGTCACAGTCCTGGAGTGCAAGCCCAGAGGTTTGGACTTGAACTTGATTATACTATGCCCGGATGAGGAACCTGAGCCTCAAGATCACATGTGGCCCTCTAGGTGCTCAAGTGTGGCCCTCTGACTGAATCCCAACTTCACAGAACAAATCCCCTTAATAAAAGGATTTGTTCTGTAAAACTTGGACTCAGTCAAAAGGACCTAGAAGGTCACATGTGGCCTCCATTGCAGGTTCCCCACCCCTGTAGTATGCTACATAGAACTGTATTAAGCTATGAACCTAATCCTTCTCCCTTCCCAGAGACTGAGGTGGTATAGGAAAAGCTATGCCCCCAAGGTGTTAGGGGGAATATGTGTATGTTTGTTTTTGCTATACCTTTGAAGTAAATATTCCTCGGTAAAAGTTAATCTGACTGTTAAGTGGTTAAATGGAACTGGGGTGCTGCAGACCCCCTAAAACTGAGGAAACATAATTAGTGGTAATTTGACCCAATGATAGAGGTGAGAGAGCCCTCTCATTCCCAAACTACCTAATGTTACTGGAGAACCCTAGGATGGGGAAGACGGGAAAGGGGAATCTGTCCTTCCAGAAGGGCCAGAGTAAACACTGTTGCATAAGAAACAGCAAGTTTCTTGTTGGTGGGGTTGTGAACTGATCCAACTATTTTGGAGAGCAATTTGGAACTATTCTCCTTATACGCCCCCTAAAAAAGGCCTATACCCTGAAAGCTCATCAGATTCACTGGGGAACTCATCAGGCCCATCAAGGACCCATGTGGGCAGCCCCTCTTATAGCTGAGCAGTCCTGTAGAGTGAGGCACACTGATAGAATGAATCATAGAATGTTAAAGCTTGAAGAGACATGTGATCTAGTTCAACTCCCTGATTTTACTGATAAAGAAACTGAAACATAAAAGATTTGAAGTGGTTTGCTCAAGATCACACTGTGAGTTGATGGCTATCTTGGGACTAGAACTTGAGCTCTCCTATTCTTTCCTTTACACTAGGTCATTTTCTTAAAAATCTTAGCAGGATCCAAATGCAAGGTGAAAATGCTGGGTGAAACAGTGAAAAGATTCATGTATTTGGAATCAGATAAGCTGGGATCAAATAATTGCTCCCCTACACTAAAGGGATAACAGCCTACCCCCCTCCAAGCCCCTTCCCCATCTGGGTCTGTTCCCTTATTTTTGAAAAAGGGTGTAAGATTATTTAGTCTTAAATGGTAATATACTACATCAAATTAAGTCTGAATGGTTTCAAAAAAAGAGTTTCTGAGGGACAGGAAAGACCTGGGTTTGAAGCCTTCTCTCAGAATTTAGTAACTCTATGACAACAAGTCATTTAAACTGTGTGCCTCAGCTTCCAAATCTGTAAAATGGGAATAATTATACCTGTAATACTTACTTCACAGAGCTGTTATGGGAATCAAGAGAGAAGACTGGTAGATTTGAAGTCAAGGTTTAAGCCCTAACTCTTCTACTTGCTACCTGTGTGACCTTGGATAAATCACTTAATCACTCAGCCTCAATGGTGTCATCTATAAAATAGAGTTAGACAACATTAACTGTAAGGCTTCTTCAAGCTCTATATCATGACCTTATGTAAAATACTTTGCAAACCTTAAAACACTATGTTAATGGCTATCATTATTAATTAATAATAATAATATCAGAAAATAAATTTGTTTCATACCAAAGAGTGATTTGGGTGGGGCAGTACCAGATCAGTAGAGGGTATGTTGGAAAAATTAAATTGAAGGCTGAATCTTAAAAGAGCACAGATTAGCAGAGAGGATGGTATTCAGGGGAAAATAAATAAATGATAGGCTTGAGGGTTATCCATTTTGTTGTGTAAAAAGATGTTGTTGAGCATTATTCAAAAGATGGCTCTACTCAAAAGATGAGTGGTCTAATAAGCAGCATTTTTCTCCAAGAATGTCAAGTCTGAAAGGGACTTTAGAAATCAGTTAGTTCAAACTATGCATACCCTTTGATCCAGCAATACCATTATTAGGTTTGTATCACAAAAGAGATTTTTAAAAAGAGGAGAGGGAGGAGAACCTATTTGTACAAGAGTATTTACAGCAGCTCTTTTCATGGTGGCAAAGAATTGAAAACTGAGGGGATGCCCATCAATTGGGGAATGGCTGAACAAGTTGTGCTATGAGATTATAATAGAATACTACTGTGCTATAAGATAGGATGAGCAGAATGATTCAGAAAAACCTAGAAAGACTTACATGAACTGGTGCAAAGTGAAGTGAGCAGAACCAAGAAAACACTGTACACAGTAACAGCACTCTTATACAATGATCAATGGTGAATGACTTTACTGTTCTCAGCAATACAGTGATCCAAGACAATCCCAAAAGACTCATAAGGAAAAATGCTATCCACTTCCAGAGAAAGAACTAATGGAGTCTGAATGAAGACTGAAGAATATTTTTTTTTACTTTCTTTCTTCCTTTATCATTTTTGTTTCAATTTTTTCCACAAAAGGACTAATATGAAAATATGTTTTACATGACTGCACATGTATAACCTATATCAGATTGCTTATCATGTCAAGGAGGAAGAGAGGGAAGGAAGGAGAGAATTTGAAACTTAAAACTTTTAAAAAGTGAATGTTAAAAATTGGGGGGGTTTACATGTAATTGGGGGGGAAATAAAATATTATTTAAAAAATAAAACATTTTTTAAAAGATTAGTCTTCTACTAACTTCTGTTTCCAAACCCCATGACAACATTTATCCCTGTGAAATTTTATCTTGTAAATTTGGTTCCACCGTTCCAGCATGTCAAGGTCTTCCTGATTCTGCCAGCTAGTGTATCAGCTATCCCTCTCAGGTTTATTTCATATGTAAATCTGATAAGCATGCCAGCTCCAGCCTTCCGTGCTTGGAATGGACTCCATCCCTGCTAGATTCTAACTTCGATCAATGCTCAGCTCTCCTCCTGGGGAAACCTGCATTGTATTCGTTTCCCATTACTGCTCTTCCCTCTTTCTCCTCAGATTATCATGTACATGTTGATCAGTTGACATAGGATCATAGGTTTAGCGTCAGAAGAAACCTCAGAGGCCATATAATCCAAACCCCTAATTTAACAGCTGAAAAAACTAAGGTCCCTAAAAGTTAAATTACTTGCCTAAAGTTACACAGTCAAGAACAATGGTAGGATTTGAAACTAGGTCCTGACTCCATTCTTTTCATTGCCTCTCCACACTCCATACATAATGCTCGTCTTGCTTCACTCATTAGAAGGTAAGCTTTCTCTCTCCTAAGTTCCAGTACTGCATTATCAATTCCTAAATGCACATAATTAACTGGTTATCCAAGAAATATCTCCAACCCAAGAAGCTGAAAACAGAATTCATCCCCTATCCCCCTCATTATCTTCTGAACTTTCCTATTTCTGTTCAGTGTACCACTATTCTTTCAATCGTCCAGGCTAGAAACTTTGGTGGCATCCTTGCCTCCTGACTTTCACTCACTCTATCCAATAAATAGTCCAAATCTTCTCACTGCTATCTCAACATCTCATTCCCACACCTCTCCCCTTCTCTCCACCCAGAGTAGCTACCACCCAAGTTCAGGCCTTTAACTAGTCTCAAATGGACTACTGCAATTGAGGCTGCTAGGTGGCACAGTGGATAAAGCGCTGGGCCTGAAGCAAAAAAAAAAAAAAAGGCTGAATTCAGATCTTGCTTTGCACTAGCTGTGTGACCATAAGCAAGTCATTTCACCCATATCTGCCTCGGTTTCCTCTACTGCAAAATGGGGATAACAACAGTACTTATCTCCCAGGGCTGCTATGAGAATTAAATGAGAATATGAACACTAAGTGTTTAGCTCAGTGCCTAGCACATAGTAGGCACTTAGTGCTTATTTCCTTCCTTCCATTCAAGTGTCCTAATTGGTCTCTCCAACTCAAGTCCCTGTCCAATCCAATTCATCTTTTACACAGTGGCCAAAGTGATATTTCTAAAGTGTAATTACGCCTGACTGAGTCACTCCCTATTTAGCAAACTCAAATACCTTGCTATTACTCCAAAGTCAAACATGAACTTTCTTATTGCTCCTCACGGGTGGCACTCTTTTCTACCTGTTCCTCTATACTGGCTATCCCCATGCAGGGGATACATTCCCTTCTCACTTCTACCTCTTAGACTTTCCCTGCAAGTCTCTGCTCAAGTATCATCAGCTTCGAGTCCTATCCCCTCATCACCTTTTATCTCCTTTTTTTCTACCTTTCTCTATATGTGTTGTCTTCCCTAAACAAATATATATGCCTTGAAGAAGAGGGAGGCTTCATTCTTCTTTGTATCCTCTTGTTCGTTCAGTTGTTTTCAGCTTTGTCTGACTCTTTTCAACCTCATTTGGGGTTTTCTTGGCAAAGATACTGGAGCAGTTTGCCATTTCCTTCTCCAGCTCATTTTACAGATGAGGAAACTGGGGCAAACAGGGTTAAGTGACTTGTCCAGGGTCACGCAGCTAGTAAGTCTCTGTGGCCGGATTTGAACTCAGGAAGATGAGTCTTCCTGACTCCAGGCCCAACACTCTATACACTACTCCACCCAGCTGAATTTGTATCTTCAATGCCTGGCAAAGTGCTGGACATAGTGGGCATTTCATAAATGCCTACTGACTGGCTAGTGTTCAACTTGTCTTTGTAGTTCCTGTGCTACATACAGGAGGCAATTAATCCTTGAAAGATTGTTAGTTTTGATCTATTCCTTTATCCCACTGATTGATGCTGAATAGGACAGGACCACAGGCAAACTTAAGCCATTATAAGAGGTCTCCCTGGAGGCTGACTGTGGGGATTAAAAGTCTTTCAGGGGTTCTTAATCTGGGGTCTATGAACTTGTTTTTAAAAAGTATTTTGGGAGACAGCTAGGTGGCGCAGTGAACAGAGCACTGGCCCTGGATTCAGGAGGACCTGAGTTCAAATCCGGCCTCAGACACATAACACTAGCTGTGTGACCTAGGCAAATCACTTAACCCCACAGCCTAGCCAAAAAAAAAAAATCTGATAACTAGATTTCAATATAATTGGTTTCCTTTATAATGCTATGTGTTTTATTTTATGCATTTAAAAGCATTATTCTGAGGGATCTATAGGCTTCACCACATTGCTAAAAGGGTCTATGATACAAAACAAAAAGGATACCCATTAACTGTTTAGCTTCAAAGCCAGCTGTGTTCAAGATTTTTTCTCCATTTTGTCTTTGGATATAAAACAAGACTTTGTCAATAGTCTTAATAAAATCGGGGTACTCTATACATGGCATTTCCTGATCAACCTAGTCTACAGGGCAGGTAGAGTGGCAGGATAAGAGATGAAACGAAGGTGCTAGCCTGAGGGCACTGAATGTATGTGAAGAGGGATGCTGAAAGTGATGCAGCATTAACATGGGGATTTCTCCTACTTCAAGGATTTGTAGAGGGCTGGCCCAGCCTGGCTTATTTACCTATAAGGGAGATGTCTAAGAGCTCTTAGGAGGCACCTTTGTGTCATCAGCATGGGCCAACTGTGACATCAGTGTGGAGTTCCAGGTTAGAGTAGCCCCACCCAGCAGCAGGGGGGGCTGACAGCTCCTTATGGGGGTGGCATTGCCGCCCCTTGGAGAAAGTCTCCCTTTCTTAGATGTCTCATTCCTGCTGAGCCCCCTGCTGCTGCTGCTCATCCTGCTGGGGCTACTGAGCCATCTTAGCTGGGTGAGGGTGGTCAGGCAGGAAAGTTAGGAACAGGAAAGCAGTTGGGGTTTGGAGAGATGACAAATGGGGATAAGGAAAATAAAGAACTGTCAGAAGGTAGAGGGCATGAACTCAGGGGGTCCTGAATGTGGGTTAAACTAAGCTTGATCTAGGGGATCATGGGCTGAGTTGAGAGGTGGTCTACAGCTATTAACTGAGTTCTCCTCTGGCTTAGATTTCCTCATTGCTGAAGAATACTGTGAATCGGAGTCCAAGGAGACCCCATCCAGGTAAGGACCGTCAGTACTAGGTCACTCTCCATTCCCTCTTTTTGGCTCCATCGTACCACAGCTCTCCAACAATCCTTCTTTGTTTTCTTGCTCCCAGGTTTTCTACCCAAGCACTCCTACCTTATCCACCCATATATACCCTATCACAAAGTTTCTGAACTAGATCTGTGTCTGTCCTTACAGCTCCTGTAATCCCAAAGGTAGCTAGGAGGCCCAAACTCGTGGATTTGGGGACATCTTGGTGAGCAGTGGCTAGTACTCATACATACATGGGTCAGGCTGTAGGAGGGAGGGAAATAAAACTCGAGGAAACCACAAACAAAACTGGGAATGTCAAGAGAACAACACTTGTCCTATGAAAAGGAAGAAGAAAAGTGGATATGGAGGTGCAAATCTGAAGATCTCTGGGCACTGTCTATGTCTTTTTGGCAGGTCCCAACGGATGAATTATCCTTATCAGAGGCGGCACTCTATTCAGAAAATTCCTGCTACCTCTCATGTCCTAAGTGACAGCTCTGAATCTCAAGTTTCTATACCCCCTTATCAAAGGCCAAAGTTAAAGAGAGAGACACAACACCAACCTAAGCTTGGCCTCCGGGGGGGGGCACAGCCCATGCCCCCCCAAGAACCCCTACACGTTTCTACACATTGCTACACGTTGGGAGCAGTCCCCCTCTCTCTAGCCTGGCACCTGCTTCCATCACCAGCTCCCACTTTGCTCCATGTCCAACCCTCCCTCCCTGTGACTGCACCACTACAGAGCCCTGACATCCTACCAGGACAGAGCCCTGTGACTCCAGCACTACTTAGCCCTGAGGCCTATAATCTCCTGGAGCAAAACATTGCGGACCATCAATTGCACCAGCAAGTCCACAGTCAGCCACACCAGTCTTATTCCACTGTGATCCCATCACCTGTGGTTTCTTTGTACCCGCCTCCTCCTGCAACCAAGGAGATGGTGCCCAGGCACAACAACCAAGTGGTACTGCAGATCTCTCTGTCCCCACAGTCACAGCCTGGTACTGAGTTCCTCTTGGACCCCACCCCCTGGCCCAGCTCAGCTGCCCAACCTCAACTTCACCCCAAAAGCTATCCCCTTACATATTGCCAGGTTCCCCCCAAACACCACCTACCCCAAGCACTGCCCTCTTCCTATATTCATTCACAGCCCCCTGACTATACCCCTTCATTAAAAGGAAATCTATCCTCCTCTTCTGGTAGCCTCCAGGGCTGCCAAAGGAGAAGAGAAAGGCTTCGAGAGCTTTGTAGTAGCACGACAGCCCCCAGAATTGAGGAGGGATGCATACCATGCGAGACTGGGCTTGGGGAGCAGGGGGGACCTGCAGCCCTGGCCCGGGACCTGGTGGCATTTCTTGGTCACCACCGCATTGCCAGGGATCTGCGGTTACTGCTGCTGCAGTGCCTGTGGCAGGGTCATGCTGGACCCATTCCAGCCGTGGAGTATCCTATATGTTTGGTGTGCCGCAAAACAAGAGGGCCCTCCTGCCCAGCCCCCAGCCACTGGCCTGGACCCCAGCTCCTTGCCTTCCCACAACTGCTGCCCTCCAGGCAAGGGCTGGAGTTGGGGTCTGGGCAGCTCCACGTCGGCATCGGCTTTGGCTTGCGCCTGCAACAGGATCAGGCCCAAGCTTTGGAACTGTTGCCCAAGAAAGAGATCGAGGAGCTGGAGTATGTGGTCGAGGCCCAGTGCCCCAAGGAAGAAAGCTTCCCAGCCCCAGAGCCTCAATTCCCACCTTCCATCTCCTGCCCAGAGTCTCCACATCTCCATATCCCTGGTCCTGCTTTCCCAAAGCCCAGCCCTCTCCCTCCAGCCCATGTGCCCACATACCCAGAGGCCCCCACCCACACTTCATCTCCAAGCAAGAACCTGGGCGCATCTGCCTAGGAACAGCCCAGACCCCATTCCCTTTACTCAGGCCCAGACCCCAAAGTACTGGGAGCCCAAGGGACTCCCTGAAGGGATGGCTGGGTGGGGTCCATGTTTACTCTCCATCCCGGAATCCTGGGAGTCCTTTATGGAGTCTGCTGTCTCCAGGCTAAAAATGGCCAAAGGGTGCTATAGTCTCCCTAACACCACCAGCACTTGGCCCTCATTCTGTAGTCCACAATAAAGAGGATGCTACAGAACTGTGTGTGCATGTGTGAACCTATCATTATGAGCAGCATTAGTATGAGCACTCCCTGTCCCTTCACCCTCCACACCACCTCATGAAGCAGAATGCCCAATCTCGCCCAATTCCCAGCATCTTACTCATTTTCTCCAATCAAAAGTACAAGTCTCAGATACAGATGAGGAGCTGAAGCAAAGAAACACAGAGTAGTCTTCCAATGACACTATGAGAATTAGGTAAGGTAGTATGATATAGTGGAAGGAGGGTTGAACTTGGTATCAGAAGACAGATTCATATCTTCCACATTCATTAGCTGTGTGACTCAGTAATTCAATAAACCTCTTGGCCTTAACTGCCCCTATCTACCTCTTATAGTTGTTATGAGGAAAGTGCTCTGCAAACCTCAAAGAGCTATAGAAATGTGAGTTATTCTTGGTAGAAGTAATTCTATCCTGAAGTTCATAGTCCTTTCCAAAGAACTCTAGGTTATACATGATATAGTAGAAAGTAATTAGACTTGCAAGTCAGTCAGGAGAAACTGGGGTTCTAACACAGGGGTACAAAAGTTCTGGCTGTGGAATCAGAGGATGGGTTCAAATCTTGCTTCTGCCCTTCCTACCTGTACAACCTTGGGCAATTCACTTAACTTCTCTGAAGCTTGGTTTCGTCATCTGTAAAATGAAAAGACTGGATCAGTCATAGGTTCTATGAAGTCCCTTCTAATTTTAAATCTGTGATATACCAACCTCATCTGTGATATTTACCAGCTGTGTAATACTGAGCAAGACTCTTAACCTGTGTGACCACCAATTTCCTCATCTACACAATGGGGATAACAGAATCATAGATTCAGAATTGGAAAGGACTTAAAAGACCATATAATGCAATTTGCACCCAAATCCTCTCTGCAGTATTCCTGACAAGTTACCATCAGGCCTCTGCTGAAAGAGCTCTAGTGAGAAAGAACCCATTATCAAGGTGGCCTCTTTTAGACAGCTCTAATTGTTAGCATAATTCTAACTGTTAGGAGGCAGCGAAGTGGTTAGAGTGCTGGGCCTGGAGTCAGGATCCAAGTTCAAATCCAATATCACTTATTAGCTGTGGGACCCTAGGAAAGTCACTGTAAGTAAGGTGGATTTTAGTGTGTTTAAGGAGGATTATTATTCCTTTGTAGATATAATAGTTCCAGGATCCTAGATAATATTTCCCACGAACTATGGTTGAAAACAACTTCTATTGCGCAGTCACAGTGAGATATAGGGGTGACATAATATGATATTTACTATGCATGCATTGTGCTAGGTCATAATGATATTGCTAAAGTTAACTTGTCAGCTTAATGTTGGCAAGATGGCTTCATTGTCTGTTGCCCTATAAAGCAAGTGGGCACTGGTCAGTAAGCGGTGAACCCATTTTGGAATTTGGATAATGCATAGAGGAATGCATGTACAATGCATGTACCTACTTTGATTGGCCCCCATCAAGGCTTGGGGGCAATCTGTGGTTGCCTCAACCAACCCCCATTGAGGTATAGGGGAATGAGATAGGAGTTATGCTCCTACTTTGTATATTCTTGCCCACTCCTTCGAGAAGTGTGATTAGGGAATGCTGTAGGAGCTGGTGCTCCCATTATCAGCAACCCATTCAGAAGACTTGACTAGAATAAAGTAAGCTTATTTAACCTCTCTAAAGCTGTCTTCCTGTCTGATCAGATCACAAGTGAACCTGTGCTAGAACACCTGTTAGTGTTAGGAGCCCTCTTGTGCTCTCCTGCCCAATAAATGGTGTTACCTGTCTGTTTACCTGTGAAAGTCACTTAACCCTGTTTGCTTCAGTTTCTTCATCTGTAAAATGAGCTGGAGAAGGAAATGGTAAACCACTCCAGTATCCCTACCAAAAAAAACAAAACAAAAACAAAAATAAAAAAGGGGTCACAAAGGGTCAAACATGACTGAAAACAACTACACAGCTTTCCAAAGTTTTTCCAGATATCCAACCTAAATCTGCCTCTTGGCAACTTAACAAATCTAATCACTTCCCAATGACAGCCCTTTAAATACTTGAAAATAACTATTATGTCCACATTAAGTCTTCTCTAGGCTAAATATCCTTAAGTCCTTCAATTTCTCCTCTTCTGGCAGGATTTTGCAGTCTACTTGGTCACCTTTCTTTGGACACTCAATAGCTGATTAATATTTTTCCTGACGTGTGGGTTTTGGAATTGAATGCTAACCAAACACCACTTGCAGTTTAGCCAAGGCAGATTAGAGTAGAATTTATTACCTCCCCCATTTAATAAAACTTGCACTACTTATCTTCCAGGAGTTGCTAAGAAGAAAGCACTTTGTAAACATCAAAACATTATACATATGTGGGTATGTGTATAGCTGTAACAGGGAACCAAATGACTATCCCAAGAATCTAGCTGGCTTTGAGTTAAAAGAATAACAACACTATAACAACTCTCTCCCCTCCCTCCTATACTGAACTTCACTCCCCACTCTCCTCCCCACTTTTTTCAGGCCAGTCAGGATTTATTGAACGACCTCATACACCACAAAAAAAGTTTACTTAGAATAAAAAGTCCCTCCACCAGTTGCAGCAGCAAGAAAATATCAAGTAACAAATGGTATAAAATACAACAAAATAGAGTTATGGAAACACTGGCAACATGGTTTCTTACTCTCCAGATTCTCAGCCTTTATGTAGCAGAGTTACCAGTCCTAGAGCTCCAGGAGGAGGTAGCTATACTAGAGCCACCATAGTAAGTGCTTAATTTTTGTTTGTCCTTAGTTCTCAAAGAGGACCAATGACATCACAAGTGATGTCTTGACTTTAAGTGAGGCAGAGCTGCACAAAGTCATCAGCCTCACTCTCTCTTCCAGAGTCATGAAGTCCACTGGCAGGGCAAAAGTCAATACTACCATTGATGGCCGGGGAAAGAGTGGTGTCTTTCGTCTGACCAAGCTCAGTACCTGCTTGGCAGCCTTCGTGGCCACTGGAACAAATTGTTCTCATCTACCCATTCCTCTGGGGAAAGTCTTCACATGCTTGGGGTGGACACACACCCCTAACTCACCAACAGGTTTGTGGCCTGTCAGTTATCCTCAATCTGGTCGAGCCCCTCTGCCATGATGGTTTGGGGGCAGTGGTCGTGGCTTAGAACTCTATAGCTTCTTGGAGCCACTGTTACTAAATGTTTACTGAATGAATGAACGAACCAGACCTAAAGATGGACGTAAATGAGGATGTCACCTCGGTGTCCTTCTCCTCCTCACTTCTGGAGACAAGAATACCTGGGTTGGAATGCTGGGTCCACACTCACTTTGTGCTTACTCAGATCACTTAATTTCAGTTTCCTTATCTGTAAAACGGGGATGATATTAAGAGACCTCTGTCTGAGGCTTGTTGTGAGGAACAAATGAGAGTAAGGCATATTTAAGCGCTCTGCAAACTTTAGAGATATGTAAATGTTACCAAAGACAGAGGGAAATATCAATAACTGAAGCAGAGATCACACTCCTTCCGCCCCACTTCCGCCTTCTCTTGGGGGGGGCTCACTCAATCTCAGAGAGGCACGCTACTGACTCTTCTCGCGAGAATTCGCGCCCCCAATCCCGTGGCCTCTGCACTGAATCTGTACCGGAACCATATACATCGTTACTCTTCCAGGGATGGTTGTAAAGGAGACTTCCGGTACCTTGTACAGAAATGGCAGGACTTCGCAGGCGTACAGAGGAGCCTCAGAACTCGGTGCCCTTGCCCACGTGACCTGAATCTCGGCGAACGGTGGCCAGACTGTGCTGACGTGTACTGTCATCCTGCGCCTGCGCATGAAAGACCGTGGGATGGGCGCGCTTGCGCAATGCGGGCGTTTGTAACCGGGTTCACTAGGCGGTGGGAAGGGGAAGCTGTTTTGGGGTCAGGGTCCGAGCCGGCCCCTGGAGCAGAGGCTTAGCGGAGACGACTAGGGTGGGCTGAGCGAGCGAGTGGGCACCGGGCATGACCCTGCTGTGACCCGTGAAGGCTGGACGATGGGACGGCGCCGGGCGCCGGAGCTGTACCGAGCGCCATTCCCGCTGTACGCGCTGCGAGTCGAACCCAGCACCGGCCTCCTCATCACCGCGGGCGGGGGCGGCGCCTCCAAGACTGGCATCAAGAATGGAGTGGTGAGCCCCCGGCCCGGCGAGAAGGGGACCCCGGGAAACATCCCCCCACGCCCCAACCCCGGACCACCATCCTCTGTCTTCCCTGTCACAGGCTTTCTCTGTTCGGGTCACCCCGGGGCCCTTCTCCCACCCACCTTCTGGTGACTTCGTGTTTTAGAGGCCCCTGGTGCTCCCCCCCATTAGTGTCTAGTATAACGTTCTTAGTAAGACCCCTGGCCCCCAAGACTGATCGACCCCTCACCCTGTGTTGCTTAAATCTGTCACTATTCCCTTTCCTCTCGTTGTCTGTTTCCTTCCCTGTGCCACCGATGTGTCCCTGCCCCGATTGGTAGCTTAGCTGGGTTCAAAGTAGAATGTCTGCAATCCCTGCTGTGGTTTTTCACTGTCATCAGTCTTTGCAAGCGAGACTAAAGCTTCTCCACTTCCTTCACACCAGTAAGGGAAATGTACAAGGCCAGGTTAAAGTTTCCGTTCTGATGTTTTAGGAGACCAGAACTTCTGGGGATTTCCCGCTTTTACCCCTATACTTAGCTGAAGGAGATAGCCTGCCTCAGAGAGGTTTGCCAGGAAGTGGGATTTCCAGGGACTTTCCTTGAAAATGAATCCTGATGAGTCCTAGGAGACTTAAAACACCTTGCTCCCTGAGGCTGCCCTGGGCATGGGCTGAGCAGACCTCACCTTGCTCTATTTCCACAGCACTTTTTGCAACTGGAACAGATTGGTGGAGCTTTGAGTGCCTCTTTGCTGCATTCCCATGACACTGAGACTAGGGCCACCATGAACCTTGCCCTTGCAGGCAGTATTCTTGCTGCAGGGCAGGATGCTAGCTGTCAGCTCCTTCAATTCCGACCTCAAGAGCAGGAGACCTGTGACAAGCAAGACAATGAAGGTGAGAAGCCTTATCTCAAACTCCTACCAAGAGAGGAACTAATGACTCTCCCTTTCAACTTTTCTCACACTCCACCTACTTCCAGCCTGGACCCTCTGAGGAGAAACAGATAATCACTACAAAGCTACACCACCACACTCCTCCCATGACTTATTGTAGAAGTTGCAGAGAAGAGCCAAGTGGAACTATTGAGCAGTCTAGAACCACAGTTTGTGATTGCAGGTTCCCAGGAGCAGGGCCCAAGGCAAAGGAAGGGCACAGGAGCCACGGCTGAAACACAAGAAACTGGGGCATCAATTCAGCGAGAGGGGGTGGAGCTGAATGTGGAGAACTTGCAGTCTGTGCAGACAGACTTTGGCTCTGACCCATTGCAGAAGACTGTGTGCTTCAATCATGATAATACCTTGCTTGCCACTGGGGGCACTGATGGCTTTGTTCGTGTTTGGCAGGTGCGGGTTTCTGGGGATAGGCAAGTGTGGGATTGGGGTGAGACCTAAGTTGTAAGAGAATTTGGAATGGGTCTTGGGTAAATTTGATGGTTAAATCCTGAGATAATCTGTGAGAGTCAAGCACTGAGAGGGAAGAGAAAGCTGGCTTAGTGGGCACTGAAATTAGAGTGAGTTGGCCACTGTCAGTGGTCCAGAGTGTGATTTTGGCTGCAGGTGCCTAGCCTTGAAAAAGTTCTGGAGTTCAAAGCTCATGACGGGGAGATTGAAGACCTGACTTTGGGCCCTGATGACAAGGTGAGGATATTGCAAAGAAAACAGTGAAAAAGATTAGAAGTTCAGTTTGTGTGGTAAGTGTGTCTCGTTAATGACCCTTCCCTGTCCTTTTTTCTGTTTCTTCATCAGATGGTGACAGCAGGCTGGGATTTTAAAGCCTGTGTGTGGCAGAGGGACCAGCTGGTGACAGGGTTGCGCTGGGATGAAAACTTGCCTCCTTTACCTGACACACCTTATCGCTATCAAGCTTGCAGGTGTGAGGGCTTAAGAGGGAGGGTGAATGGAGGCAAATTCTACATAAAAGGAGGGGAAGACCCAAGAGGAGTGGGGTAGGGATTAGTTCCACCTACAAATGGGGAGAGTTGGGTTGGAAATTACCATTGGTCCCTGAAAATAGCACTTCTAAATCTATTAAAAATAGAAGAGGGTAAGAGGAACTCTGTGGGGATCTGAATAGCACCACCCCTGGCCCCCAGGTTTGGGTGGGTGCCAGACCAGCCTGCTGGGCTGCGGCTCTTCACAGTGCAGATTCCCCACAAGCGCCTGCGCCGGCCACCACCCTGCTACCTCACAGCCTGGGATGGCCATAATTTCCTGCCCCTTCGGACCCAGCCTTGTGGTAACGAGGTCATTTCCTGCCTCAGTGTCAGGTATGAACTGGTAATAGGGTTGGTAGATATTGAAATTAATAGCTGGGAGCGGGGTCCTGAATCGAGAGGATTTGAGGGGGTGAAGATCTCTGCAGCTGCCATGGAATTGATGAAAGTTATGCTTTTGCAGTGAATCAGGCACCTTCTTAGGCCTAGGCACCGTCACTGGCTCTGTTGCTATCTACGTCTCTTTTTCCCTCCAGGTAAGTGGGTAGGGTGGGCTTGTAAATGGGGTAGCATGAATGTCAGGAGGGAGGTCCAGAGGAATGGAAGTGAAAGTGGGGTGTTTGTACCCCCCTGTCTCTTGTCTATGGGAGAGAACAGGCCTACACATGGAGGGAAGGACGTGTTGGTTCAGCACATGTGTTTGCCTATGGAAAGGGGCAAAGCTGTACTTGGGATCTTCGTGATTGAGGGTCTGTCCTCCTCTCTCCAGCGTCTCTACTATCTTCGGGAGGCTCATGGCATCGTAGTGACAGATGTGGCCTTCATGCCAGAGCAGGGGCGTGGCCGAGAGCTGCTGGGGGCTCATGAAGCGGCATTGTTCTCTGTGGCTGTGGACAGTCGATGCCGACTGCATCTGTTGCCCATTCGGCGTGAGTTTGGGGGAGAAATGGTGATGGGAAGAACTGGAAGTGGAAATGGAAAGGGAGGGAATGGGGAAGTATCATATCATTTCTTGGAAGCACCACCATTTTCTCCACATATACTGTTTGCCCCAACTCATTTGTTTGAGTGCTCTGTGCCTATTCTCTGGACTTTCTCCTAGGGAGTGTCCCTGTGTGGTTGTTGCTGCTGCTGTGTGCTGGGCTCATCATTTTGGCCATCCTGCTGCTTCAGAGTGCCTTCCCAGGCTTTCTTTAGCCTTCCTTGTTTCCTGGGGGATCAGGACCCTGGACATTGAAAAGACCAGAGCCAGTCAAGGCCTAGGGCACCACTATGTCCACTGAGACTGAAGCTGAAGCTGCCCCATGAAAACAAGGAATATGATAGTGGCCCCCACCCCACCTAAAGGCTGAATGCTGCCAAACCCTGACTCTCGGCACAGGGTTCTTCTCATTTCATCTAAGATAGCAATTTTTGAGGTACCACTCATTACTGCTTCTAAGAGCAGAGCTGAAACTGTTCCTGAGAAGACTGAAAATGTGACAGCTATCCCCACCTCACCTAGAGTCTGCCAGCCAGGGGCTAGACAGCCCTTTCCCCTCAACAGTGTGAAGATGACTGAAGCCTTGGTGGCTGTACTACCCCCACTTTGTTTGAGGGGCTCATCTGCCTCTTGCTGATGAAGTGAGCACATCTCATCCCTCCTCTTCCGTGCAGCTCTTGTTCATTTACCGCTGAGATTAAATCAGTGTTCCAGTCCTTAACAACTGTTATGGGACTTGGAGGTTTCACAAAAAAATTAGCAGACTCATAATGCCTCAACAGTAGGTTTTTTATTATGTCAAATTTTCATTCACACAAGGGGAGGGTTAAGGCCTAAAATGAAAAAAGGAGGAGTTTGGGGGAACGGGCAGCAGGGAAAGGAAATAACCAGGTCTGTCTCCAGGACCTTGAGTGTGTGCTGATCAGACCACAGTAGGAGGAGGAAAAGGGTGGAGAAGGGAGTCAGCAGTCTTCTTTTGGAAAGGTTGCCCTTGGTCAGCACAGGCAGCCCTCCTAGTTATTACATGGGGGATGTCATCACCTTCATACTAGGGCAACTCCAAAGCCAGTAAAGGTCTCAGGTTTTATCAGAAGGGGCATGTTCTCACCCCAACCAATCTCGTTGGTTTCTAGTCTCCTATAGCACTGGCCATTACCTACCATCTCTCTGCTTATGTGAACAAAGCCTAGCCAAACCAAATAGTTTGTAACAAGAGATGTGGTAGTTTACAGAAAATGGTAGGAAAGGGGAGAAAGCATTCTTAGTGTCCAGAGCAGAAGACAGACACACTTGGCCCACAGCTAGCCAGCCTGGGTGTAGCTACGGTAAGTTTGGGCCATCCCTAGGCATAAGGGGAGGAGAAGGGACCTCACTGAGTCAAAAAGTAAAAGTTAAGATTTAATAAATGAGGGGAAGCTGAGCTGAGATCTGTGGCTCTTCTCCTAGGAGTCTGTCAGCCCTTGGCCTTCCTTGGAAGGTGGGGTTTCGCTGAGAGCCTGCAGTTCCCTTGCATGCTGGAAGACAGCGGCAGCATACTGGTGAAAGAGGCGGCTCATGTAACAGTACTGCCATGGGATCAGCCCCTCCAGGAAGCCGATGTGGCCGCCCCGGGATGTAATCAGCAGTGCAACACGTGGCAAGTGTGTAGCAGCCTGTAGTGGGAAAGCTGGGGGGTGGAGGGAGGAGGAGAGGGAAGGGAGAGCTAAGTCAGGAGCCAAAGACTTTATGGAGGCTCTTTACCCCTGCCCCCTAAGCTGGGCCCTAGGGCCAGTTTTCCGTAGGATTTGAAGAATAATAGCTAACATCACACTATAAAGTCTGCAGATCACCTTGCCAACCTCATTTGAGCCTCACAACAATCCTGTGAGATATAGGTGCTATTGTTATTCCCATTTTACAGATGAAGAATGAACTTCCGAGAGGTTGTGGCCTGTCCAGGGTCACACTGTAAAGAAGTATCTGAGATGAGGTTTTAATCCAGGTTTTTCTGACTCTTCAGCACTTTATCCCCTACACCATGCTACCTTTCTCAATGCTGAGGATGGAGAGACTCACCTTGAGGTGGGGAAAATGGGTCATCTGCTGCATTGAGACAGAGCACTGGGACACAAATTGCATCCACCTTGCCTCCAGGGCTTGCTGAATGGTAGTAGGTGTCGCAGTCTTTATAGCCAAAGGCCAGTGTGGTGTAGCGCTCGTCAAACTGGCGGATTGTACGGGCCTGACAGGGACAGAATGGAGCTTAGGGGTGACAGGCGTGGAGATGGCAGCTAAAGAACTGGGGCAAAGGTGGAGGGTTGGTTCTCTACCTTAAGCACATAGTCCACATCCAGTTTCTTCTCGATCACCTTCCTATGTCTGTAGTAGAGTGTGTGTGTCAGGGGAGCAGCAGCAGCTCTAGTCTGCAGTAATCTTTCCCGAATTCCAGCCTGACCAGTTTTCCCTCTCCCACAGTGGCTACCACCCTGGCCTGCTTTTATGTTTTCAGCAGCAAAAGGCACAGTTGTACTCCACTGAGACTTCCTCCCTTTTCCCCACCCTGTCACTGCCCTACCGTCCCACAAATCGGCAGAGTGTGGCCGTGAGGTGCTGGTTGAAGAGAAGTGCATTGAGTGGTGTCTCCAGAGAGCGGGTGGTTTCAAAGGAGTCCCAGCATGGAGACAGGGTCAGTGCTGCCACCAGCCCTGCTTCATTACCTGTCTGTGCCAGGTGGTTCAGCACTAGGACCCTGCAAGAGATTGGAATCAGAACCATAAAGAGTAGGGGAAGGGGAGGTTTAGACTGGTGTTATTAAGAGATGGCAATCACTAAAGAGGAGATAGATAAGGTAACCAGCTGGGAAGTAGTTGTTTAGGGAAAGGAGGAGGAACAATTTAGCTGAGAGTTGGGCCTATTCAGGAAGATCATGGTCGGTAAGGAAGCAGGACCAGAGCCCTGTTGGAGGTATGAGTGAAAGAAGGGACAGAAATTCTGCTAATGAAGGGCTGCAGTCTCTTTTCTCTTAGGTCAGCTCTAATAACCCAGTTGGCTCTTACCCTCCTATTGAGATTCCTACAGCCAGCAGTGGGGACTGTGGATACTGGTGCTTTATGTGATTCACAACTATCTCCAGGTCCTCTGTGTTACCAGCGCAAAAGGCCCTGTGGGTCTGAGGACAAATAGTGTCACATGGAGATAGGAATGGACAGAAAGGGGCAGGGCTCCAGGAGGTGAGATAACTCAGTGGGGCAAGGTAGAAGACAGGAATGATGCAGATAGGTACAGGGTCTGTAGGGAAACAAGGCCAAAGGCTACAGGACTGCAGAGGACGATGGGGTCAGAAGGGTGAGAACTTAATGCTAGAAGTGGGGATGGAACTCACCAGCAGTTCTTCCCCACGGCAGCCCCGGTTATTAAACACAACGGCCCTACAGCATAAACAGGCATATCTCAGCCAGACCTGCCCTAGAAGGCTTTTATCTTTTGGGGTGTCTTGCGCAGAGATTCCAGTCGTGAGGGACCCAAGTCTAGAATCCACAGAATTCTCACCACCTCCCAGTAGTAGGTCTCTCCCTGTATCTGTTTTTAGAGAAGGCTGCCCTTCCCTCTGTACATTTCTCCCTGTATCTGTTTCTCCATCCTAGACTATTCAGGCACCTGCCAGCCACCCTCAATTACCATTCTTACCTGTAGCCATCTAGAGTGGCCTGGTATGCTAGGTGAAGGATATAAGTCTCCTGGCTGCTGCCTGTGATGCCTGGGAGCAGTAACACAGTGGGCCGCTTGATGAGGTCAGGGTATTGGCTATTCTCAGATTCTTTGGCCCAGTCTAGCAGCAGCTGTCCCCCATCAGGTGTCTGGAGCACCTCACTGTGAAAGGGTGTATACAGAAGTATTTCTAGGGATTTCTAGACCTTTGTTCCGAGAATTCTGTTAATATTCCAGCTCTAAACCCACATGACCTAACTCTCCTTCCCTACCTCAGAATCCCAAGGCTAAGTTAGTAAAAATGACTAACCTTAGTGTTTATTTAATGGCTTAGGGGGTAGGGGAAGACATAATAACTAGACAGAGGTGTCAGATTTGCTGGCAGGCCATGCCAGCAAAACCCCCAAGTGTGGCAGGAACCATATTTAAAATGTAATTGGGAAATGTTCAACAAAATAAATAAAAATACAACAATGTTAACTTGTGGTTTTCTAAATCAATGTGCTGTCAAAAGGGTCTCTGTTTGAGTTGGGCACTGCTGAACTACAAGACCCATCCAGTGCCCAAAGAGAGGTTTTATCCATGATCATAGAATGAGAAAGTGGAATAGTGGCAAGAGAGCAAGCCTACGGGCCAGCTCGTGGTATTTTTAGTGTAATGGCACCTTTTGTGCTTGAGTTCTACCCAGTTCTCTACCCATAGGCTCGAGAGGATGGAATGGGGTCAGATAGCTAAACAGGGCTCCCCCTTTTCTAGCCGTCCTTTAACCCCTCAGATCTTCTCACCTCTGGTAGGAGACAGGGGGCCGGGACTGCACAAAGACTCGGAGGACAGTTTGAAGCCTCCCTTCGAAACACCAGGGCGTGGGGTAGAATGTTTCCGTAATAATAGGGCAGTGCTGCATCAGGAAGGCCCGGAACTGGGGCCCAGCCACCAGCCGAGGCTTCTGTAACCACAGAACAGTCTTATCTCATTCTCACCTCTTGTCTTGGCCCACCACTGCTTCCCACAATAAGGCTGGTGTAGCACCAGACTCTAGTGGAGAACTAACCAGATGAATGGCTCCTTATCCATCCCCAGGGGCTAGTCTCTGAGCCTTGATCCGTAAATGTGCTCTTGACCAGGGAGGACCTGTAGGGGTGAGGGGATCTTCTCTGGTTTAATGGTAGCTCCCATATACCCCAATCTGAAAAATTGCTAGGAGCCCAAATCACTTGTGGAGTGACAGGGCAAATCCAACCAAATACAGATTCTTCAGTCTTCACTAGAATGTGTAAACCCCAGGGCTGATCCCAACATATAGTCCTAGGGGCTGCTCTGCTCAGGATAACCCACTGCATTGGACTAGAACAGACATCCAAGTGATTGTTATCAGCACCAGCATCCCAATGGCTGGCTACTAGTCTGGTCCAAGATTTCATACAACAGAGATAAACCCATATTCACTTCTAAGTTAATTATAGGGTTTGTGGACAGCATACAAACCACTGGTAGAACACTTGCTCACAGAAAAGTGTACAAGAAGATGTGCTTCCAGCTCACCAGTACCATTGAGCCCCCAGCTTGGCCTAGTTCTGGGAAATGAACCCACACATGTGACAGGAACCTAGATAGTCAGCTCTATTCGTTACAGACTGGTTCTACGTGGCCTAAGGCAGTTAAAAGTGTTGGGGGTTTTAGGTGGATAGCTGGCATTTGAATAGCATTTAAAGTTTGCAGAGCACCATTTACATTTTGTCCATTTGGTCCTTATAGCAATTCTATGACATGTAGATAGTATTATTATCTCCATTTTATAATTGAAACCAAAGCCAAGAGAGATTATGATTTGCCCAGAGTCACACAAAAAAAGTGTCTGAGATGGGATTTGAACCCCAGTCTGCCTAACTCTAAATCTAAGCACTCCTTCCACTTGGCTGTACTCACTACTTGTCTCAATGATGAACTAATCTAGGGTAAGCGGAATCATGAACAGCTATGAACAGGTCAGATAAGCATAAACAGTAGGTGTTAGTAGAATTCCTTTAGGGTTGGGTTGTACTCAGGGAATCATCCCAGCTGTTTGTCCCATCCCTTCCCACTATATCCCCCAAATACTCAAATGGATCCTTTATCACATGGATATATAGATTGCCTTCAGTGGTGCAGATTGTGACCCATCATTCCTACTCATCTTGTCGAACGTTTGTCCATGTCTTCCCATATGTTTTCCCTGGGGATCTGCCCTGTGCACTGGAGGCCTTCCTCTGTTTCTCCTGACAGTAAGAGGTGTGCCAGTGGAGTACACAAGTTAGCAGTTATCCTTTGCTCTTCACCTGACTAGCCTATCTTCTTTAATGACACCTCATGCTCTAGTTCTTTGTGGTTCCTCATTTACTATGTGTTGTAGCTTGTTCATGTCCACCATGTCTCTCCATTGCCCTGAGTGGTATTCATTTATAATTCTTTGGAAGTTATAGTGTTTTATGACTTGCACCCACACACCACCACTAGGAGAATATTGGTAGAAGATGGGCCTTGCTTTCAAGGAGAAGCTAAGGGGTCATTAAAGGGACCTACTAGTTTCCTGAAGACTGTCCATCCCTTTTCTCCTACTTAATTCTAGGTTCACTCAACTCATTGTTCATTTGCATTGCCTTCGAGAGAGAAAGAGAGAGAGAGAGACACACACACACACACACACACACACACACACACACACACTCACATGTTCTATAGGTTGTCCATCTAACTGAATGCCATAATTTGGTCCACAGGCATTCGTTATCACCTTTGTTTTTCCATCTGGTTAGTTAAGCCAAACATTTTTATTTTTATTTATGCCCTTTTTTTACACCACATTTATTTCTGAATATTGAGCCTTCCCTTGAAAAAAGATTTAGCAAAACCAATTGACACATTGATCAACCATGTTTGATAACACATGCAACATTTTATATCCATACTCCATCTCTCCAAGAAAAGAAGAGATTAGTCTAGGGGTGAGGAAACCTTTGGCTTCCAGGCCACTTGGTCCTCTAGGTCCTCAAGTGTGGCTCTTTGACTGAATTCAAACTTCACAGAACAAATCCCCTTAATAAAAGGACTTGTTCTGTAAAATTTGGACTCAGTAAAAAGGCTGTACCCAAGGACTTAGAAGGCCACACATGGCCTTGAGGCCACAGATTCCCCACCCCTGGGTTAGGCCGAAATTTTGAGTGGCTATGGATCAACTTCTTCATTTAAGTTGCATCATCACCACGTCTTCTGTGACAAGGTGGCTGGTCTAATCAGACGGCATCAGGTTGGATCTCCCAAACTACTATGGTACTCACTTCAGTTAAATTTACAAACATCTGCCAGATCTCTCCCACCTGTCTATGTTTTACTTCAGTTACGAGCCTGTAATGCACACACTTTGTTGATTGAGTGCACCTTGACTGCATTTCTCTGTTCATTTTCTCTTCTTGGACCTTGGAAGAAGACGTCTTTCTCAAGGTCTTTGCATCTGGATGGTGCTAAGGGGAGATAATGTCTAAGGGCATAGCTTTATTCATAGCTGTCAGGCTGGTCATAAGAGGTGCAGTAGGAATGATATGAAGTTGACAACCAAGATGACTGAAAACATAGTTCTCAACTCTTCACTCATGTTGCCCTATATATTCCCCATAGCAGCAAGTGAAGGCTAAGGTCTGAGCCAATCGGAGAGCATGTGGATGAAGAAGCCAAAACACTTCAGGCTCAGAAACATACATCTCAATTTTGGTGCAGGTCTTAGGAAATCATAGAACACAAATAATTCTCTCTTAGACCACTGCGGTAATCAAAAAGGCAGGATTAGAGGGTAGGGAGATCATATTGACTTAACGGCCATTGAGATCTGCCAGGCTCCTTAAGCTTGAAGCTGTCTGAAACTTTCATGTTAGTTTGCAAGGAGCCACAAAGGTCTGGTACATAATAGGTGCTTAATTAACAATTGTTGATTGATTATACTAGAGTGCTAATAAGGTAATGGTTGTGATTCCTGTATAGACTTCAAACTTCATCCTACCTAAGTGTTTCATGGCCATATTGTATGCTGTGGATCACAAGGAGGTGAGAGTGGGTTTGGACCAGTGCAAGTCCATTACTGCTACTCAGAAAAACAACTCAAGTATGTATCCTATGGTGTTACATAATATCAATAAGATATTTATTGCTAAGCACTTTACATACATTATTTCATTTCATCTTCATGATAACCCTGTGAGGTAAGTACTACAGATATTATTATCCCAATCTTACACATGAGGACACTGAGGCTCAGACTGACATGTTCTGCTAAGTGTTTGAGTTGACATTCAAACTCAGATCTTGCCAGATTCTGAGTTCAGTGCTCTTTCTACAACACCATACTGCCTCTTTAACACTAGTTTACTAACATAGATTAGAAATTTCCCTCATATTAACCACAATTTGAAGATTTGGTGTTTCAAGACCCACAAAATGTGTTAGGAATCTCTATACACCTGGTTATAAACAGAGGAAAAAAGGTTTAGAGAGGAACCATTCTTGCCAATGTGTGATCAGAATAAATGAAACTTGCTCCAAAAGAAGGAGCTTAGAACAACTTCCCAAAGGACAGAGGTGAAATTAGGGTTGTTTTTTATTTTGCTGGTGGGGGTGGGGTGTCATACTGTGGAATTGTTAAAAGTATCCTGGTAGACCTAGCTCCTTGGAACAAAGATGTTTAATGAAAATTGAGGAGGAAGTACAACTTTGAATTTGGATTAACATTTTGAAAATACTACATTTTATTTGTTTTTTTTAAAGCCAAATTAAAATGTTGGTTTATAAAATCATCAGCCTCCTGACTTGATTTCCCCACTGTTTAGATGATCGGAGGTCCTAATCAGAGGGGTGAAAGAGCACCACCCAGGAATAGCTGCCGAGTCAGCCCGAAATCCGGGGGTGGCAGTTCTTTGAACATTCAAACAAGGTGAGGTTCCCTTATTCCACTTCTAACTGGGTGAGGTGGCCCTAACAGTAGCCAGTTTTGGAGTTGAGCAAGTTATAATTAATCCCACAAGCTTCTGAAGGCCTGGCCCTTTCACCCAGTGGAACTAATGAGCAATTTGCCCAGCCAAGATGGGAAGAGAAAAATATAGAGTGATGGCAGTTTGCTGATTCCTAAGACCTCAGGGTTACTCCTTCTGTCCGGCCAGGGTACTTACCGTTTTGCGGAGACATACCTGAATGGCTAAAGCTATTACACAGAGACCTTAGCTTCCTTCCCACCATTCTTCTGTCTACAAGTAAAGGGTGCCTGAGAGCCAAAATGATAGGTAACCTGCAAACACTTTCTTAAGGGATTCAAGTGATTCCAAGGCAAATGGGGCAGGATCCCGTCAGTTACAATCCCCGTGTGACAGATGGGGAAACCCTAGCCATTGCTGGCTTTAGAGTCACTCAGAATCCCTGGGGAAGAATTAAGGCAAGGGACTCCAAACATTTTTGCAACGTACCCCACAACCAGGCTGTACGTTACTCTATGACATCCCTGACCCTTCTCCCAGCCCAAGCAGCCTAGAGTCCCCGGCAGCGCACCCACCTGGGGCACACATGCCCAGTAGTAGCCCAGGTAGAAGGCGGCGCTAAGGCCCAAGACGTAAGGGATGAACTCGCTCCAGGAGCCAGCCTGCGGGCCTGGATCTGCGGTCAGCATCGTCAGCCCGAGGCGCGCTTCTAGCTGCCCAGCTCGGGCTCCAAAGGCGAGTCTTCAACTTCGAAGGAAAACCACGCCCCCAGAACACTGGGCCCCACCCTGCGCACACGATTGAATGGTCGGGGCCACGCCCCCGATGGTCTTCGCTGGGCCCCTCCTCTACAGGAGCCCCAGCTGGTGGACCGAAGAGCAGCAGCGGAGAGACAGTGGGAGGGGAAGGACCTCGAAAATGCCGCAGAAACTGAAGCCCTGAGGGGGTCAGCCGGCCCGAGGGCACGCAGGGATTGAGTGTCAGAGCCGGACCCCAGAGCCCCCGGGAACCTTGTACTCGGAACTCTACACCTGGCCGGGCTCTAAAGCCTGGACATCCGGACAAAGGCAGCTGGGAGGCATTTTACCATGGGGTCTAGGCACACAGGCGGCTACACATTCAGCACAACGTCCTCATCCCTTGTCTCTTTTCTTCCTTCTCTTTTTTCTCCCCAGTCCTCGTTTCTCTCCTTCTCCCTCAAAATTAGAAGGATTCGCCCTCCCCCACAGGCAGTGCCACTAGTAACTGTCACATGATCGCGCTGTTACACAACATCACACCTAGCACTCACAAACAAGGGCACAGCGATCACATAGCTACATGTCTGGATACATCCTAGTCTTTCTCACATACATAGAAGCTGCGACACCAACAGTATACACCCAAAACACACCCCTTCTCTTCTCTTCCCTTCATTCCTTCTTTCTCTTGTCCCTCCTTCCCCCTCTTCTTCCTTCCTTCATTTCTTCCTTCCCTCTTTCTTTTCCTTCCTAGGTCTTTCCTTTCTTCCTTCATTTCTTCCTCCTCTCTCTCTTCCATCCCTCCATTCTTCCTTCCCCCTCCCTCCTCATTTCCTTCCTCTCTCTTTCCTTCTCTCCTTCCTCCTTTCCTCCCTACAGTCTTTCTTCCTCCCTCCTTCCCTCCTCTCTCCCTCCCTTCTCTCCCTTCTTTCCTTCATTCCTCCCTCCCTCATTCCCTCCCTCTCAACCTTTCTTCCTCTCCTTCCTTTCTTCTTTCCTTTTCTCCTCCCTCCCTCCTTCTTTCTCTTCTCCCTCCCTCCTTTCTTCCCTACCTCCCTTCTTCCTTTCTTCCCTTCCTCTCTCCTTTCTTTCCTTCCTTCCTCCCTCCTTCCTTCCTCTCTTATTCCCTCCCTCCCTTTCTCCTTTCTTCTCTTTCTCCTTTCTTCCCTCTCTCTTTTTCTTCCTATCTTATCTTTTTTCTTTCTTCCTCCCTCTCTCTCTCTCACACACATTCATCACTCCCATACAGAGGCAGCAACTGCACACACAACAGTCACATAGTCACAAGGCCAATGCAACATCCTCCAAAGTGTGCCTCTATCAAGTATACACAGAAGCAGTGGCTGCTCCTCCAACACATCTTCCACTGTCTGTTTGTCTGTTTCTCTCTCTCCTTCCCCCCCGCCCTCAACAGTGACATACAAAGTAGTGATCTGTATACACAACCAATACAATATCTTCCGATGTCTCTGTCTCTACATCCGTGTCACACATGACACAGTGTCATGATTATATAATCAAAACATGCTTTCCCTACACACACAGTGACAGACACAACAGATATAGCGATACACGGCCAATGCACTTCTCATCAGCAATAGTCACGTATTGCTGTCATATGGTTACCCACCCAACACATGCCTCCCCCCACAAAATGACACCCAGCAAGGTACACAGTCACATGCCCAACACAACCCCCTCCTCCCCACCCCCTTTTGTCTCTCTATCTCATTGGCACACATGCTTAGACACCCGATACAACATCCCACACATCCCTCTGGATAGCTGGTAAACTGGAGGGAGGAATCGACTGATGAGATGGCCAGGATGCAGCCTGGGGTGTGGTGGGGCAGGACTGTCTTCCCATGCCCTGTAGACTAGAGGTTTGCTGAGGTCTTCTGCTTTCCCTCTATCCCACGGCTTCGGGCAGAGGCCGTGCCCGTGCCCGTGCCCGCAGAGGGGAGGGAAATGCTTGGCGACGTGGAGCGGCCACGTGGAGCGGACCTGGGGCGGGGATCTGCCGGGGCTGCAGCACGGCAGGAGAGACAAAGCCGAGGAGCCCCTTCTCCAGCCATCGCAGGAGCTCACGCAGCAGGTGAGTCTGGAGCTCGTCAGGAGTCTCAGGGCTCGGAAGGGGCGCTGAGCTGCCCACAGGAGCGTGAGAAGGTAGGAAGGGTCCCAGCGTTTATTTGGGAGGGGGTCTGATGCCAGGGTGTGTGTGTGACTGACAATGCCAGTGACAGGCAGAGTCACGGTTTATGTGTTCCCTTATTCAGTGTTAACAGCAGGTCTGAGTTGGATAGTAAACATAATATAAGGCTAACAGTGTGATGAGTCTGAGGAAACATCCCAATTGATAAAATACTAGACTGAATTAATTGAAGTAAATGGTTTAGAACAAGGGAAGTGATAACCCCATCCTCTTCTGGGAATTGTCTGATCAGACCTGAAGCATTGTTTCCACTTCTAGGGTCCACATGTCAAGAGACATTGATAAGCTTTTAAGTATATCCAGAGGAGGGTCATCCATGATGGTTAGGATGATGGGAGGGGGCTGGACACCAGATAGTAGTGATGGTGGTGATGTTTATATAGTTTATATATATTAACTTTAAGGTTTGCAAAGTGCTTTATATAGATTATCTCATTTGGTACAACTGAGAAGTAAGTGCTACTATTAATCTCATTTTACAGATGAAGAAACTGAGGCTGAAAGAGGTTAAGTAATTTGCCCAAAGTCACACAGCTAGTAAGTGTCTAAGGGCAGCTATGTGGCATGGTGAATAGAGTGCTGCCCTGGAATCAGAAAGAGCTGAGTTCAGATTCTACCAGATACTTACTAAACTGTATGGGCAACTTGATTAACCCTGTTTGCCTTAGTTTCCTTATCTGTAAAATGAGCTGGAGAAGGAAATGGCAAACCCTTCCAGTATCTTTGCCAAGAAAACCCCAAATGGGGTCATGGAGAGTTGGACACAGCTGAGATGACTGAACAACAACAAATGACAATAGTATGTGTCTAAGACAGGATTTGAACTCAGTTCTTTTTTTACCAGAAGTCCAGCTCTGGGGTCCACTGACACTTAGGTCATATGAGAAATACTTAAAGGATCTAGAGAACAGTTATGTGAATGATTATGTGAATATCATTGTCTTCAGATATATGAAGGGCTGTCACACATATAGAAATGGAGATTCGTTTCAGAGGATAGAAATAGGAGCAGTGAGCAGAAGTTACAGGAAGGCAGAACTCACTTCAGGAATGTTCAGGAACCCAATTCTGAGGTGTATCACTCCACGAATGTCTATCTGGGATGCTAGAGAAAGATGATTGAGTTTCAGGCCCTTATAACTTCTCCACTAGGCTATCACAGTGGAGTAATAAGTCTCCTTTCCCCAATTCTTGCTGTCTTGCCCAAGTCATCCTCCACCTAGCTATCAAAATGATTTTCCTGTCTTCTATGCCTGGAATGAACTTGCTCCTCATTTGCTACCTTTAGAATCCATTTCTTGTTTAGTTGTTTCAGTTGTGCCCAACTCTTGGCAAAGATACTGGAGCGGTTTGCCATTTCCTTCTCCAGCTCATTTTACGAACGAGGAAACTGAGACAGAGTTTAGTGACTTGCTCAGGGTCACACAGCTAGTGTGTGTCTGAGGCTGGATTGAACTCAGGTCTTCCTGACCCCAGGCCTGGAGCTCTATCCATGGTGCCCTTCAGAATTCAAAATTTCCTTCAAAGCTCTCAGTTCAAGCACTGCTTTCTAAATAAAACCTTCCCTATCCCCCACCCCCACCCCAGCTGCTAGCACCCTCCTTCCCCAAACTACCTTGTATTTATTTTGCATTTACTTTAATAGGCATATGTTGTGGACCTCACCCACTATAGAATGTAATCTCCTTGACAGCTGATACTATTTCATTCTGTCCTTGTATCCAAGTGACTAGAATAATGCCCGACACATAGTGGGCCCTTAATCTATGCTAGTTGAGTGATTGAGGGACCTCTAAGGTTCCTTCTAGTTCTTAAGAATCTGAATCCATGAAATGCTGTGCCTATGAAATAAATTCTTATTGAGTACTGACTCTGCAGAGTATTAAAATATAGATTAGTTATAGTCCCCTTCAGTTACCAGTTTGAAATCTGGTAGGGAAGATAAGATGTCTCCATAAATAACTAGAGTCCAAGGTAGAATGTAAGAAATGTCATAAAGGACAGTATCCAAAAATGCTTTTTGAGCTGGACTTTGAAGCATGTAGAAGATTTCAGCAGGCACAGATAAGGATGAGAAGGGCATTTCAGGCAGAGAGGAATGAAACAAAGACTAGGGGGGTTATGTGCCCAACCAAGAGAACAATGTATACAGTGATAGCCATCTTGTAAAGGTAATCAACTCTGAAAGACTTAATAGCTCTGATCAACACAATGACTGACCACAATTCCAAAGGACCCAGGATGATACATGCTATCCACCTCCAGAAAGAGAACTGATGGATTCGGAGTGCAAACTGAAGCACATTTTCTTGTCTTCTTTCTTCTTCTTGGAACATGGCTAATGTGGAAATTTGTTTTGTATGTCTGTAATATTGATTTCTTGTCTTCTCATTGGGTTGGGGAAGGAGAGGGGGGGAGGAGAGAATTTTGAACTGAAAATAAAATAAAATTGAATTGAATTCAACTATTAAAAAAAGGACAAAAGTAATAGACATCATTAAAGAACTGTACTGCAGGGACAGAAAATGGTCATTTGGCTAGAGCAAGAGATTCACATGGACAGCCAGAGTCCTCCACTAATTAGTACTCTTCTGAGGGGAGAAAATGAGGAGGGCCTTTAGCATTTGGGTAGACATGTTGTGGCAACTTTTGGGAAAACATGGAGAAAGATGAACAGGCATGGAGGAGTTATAGTCTGCATTGTTAAAGAGAACTCTGATAATGATGAGACCACAGACCCAGCTGAATGTTTAAATACTGCTTTGCCATTTGTTATATTTCCTACGTGCCCTGATGGGGGCAGGGTGGGGGGGAGGGTTACCTTCAGGAAGTGTAACTCATCATTAGTACCAACTAGTGTTCATAGCAGTCAACAAGCAGAACAGCTGTGGATATGTCTTCTTTTTTTCATGGGAAATTAAAAAATAATTCTTAAAAAAAAAAAGATAGGGTGTATTTGGAGAAAACGGAATCTGTCATAGTGGATAGAGGGCCAACACTGGAGTCCCTAACTGCCTTCCTGTCTTTTGGGTTTTTCCTGCATACTCAGGAGGTAGCTGCCAAGGCTGGAAATCCCATCTCTCAAGATTTCAGGTTCCAGGCTGTGCTTAGAGAAGAAACACAAGCATGAACGAAGTCAGCCCACTTAGGCAAATAACCGTTCTTGCTGCTATGTCTTGAACTGTATGTTACCATTTCAGCCAAATCTCACCTTCTTCTCCCCACCCCTCCATGTCCAGGAAAGAGCTAGCAGAGTCCCAAAAAGAGGGTAGAATTTCCCTCCAATCCTTCTCATAGCCAACTGAGAGGAGGGATTCCCTTCTGACTCTTTGTCCAATCATTTTTCGATCCAGCCCTAGCTATCTGGGAACCAAGGAATTAATCTATCAAAAGTTTGAGTATCATATGCTCTTCAGTAAGGGACCAGAGCACACATCCCCATAGAAAGGGGCCAAACCATCTGGGTACTAGAGTATAGGCCTAGCACCATGTTACAGTTTCTTCCTTACACTGTATTACTCCACTGTGTACCTACTATTTTCACTGTTTCATCACTGACATCCACTCTCAGCTTGAACACCTCCAATGATAGAGAACTATATCTCTATAACTCTACCTCCCTGTCCCCATCCCATTAATTCCATTCATTAGGACATTCAGTCATTAGACATATAAAGGTGGCAAAGTGGATAGAGCTTGGAGTCAGGAGGACCTGAGTTCAAATCTGGCCTTAGACACTTGACCCTTACTAGCTGTGTGACCCTGAGCAAGTCACTTAACCCCAATTGCTTCACCAAAAAGAAAAAAAAGACATATAAAGGATATCACATGAATACAAACATATATGCATATTTACATGTATGTAGAGGAAGAAGGTAAGTGGATGATGATGGGAAGAAGCTGGACACCAAATGATGATGACAATGATGACAATAACATTTATATAGTACTTTAAGGTTTACAAAGTGCTTTACACAAATCATCTTATTTCATTCTCATAACAACCCTGGGAGATAATTATTCCCATTTTACATATGAGGAAACTGAGGCCAAGAAAGGTAGACCAAAGTCATACAATAAGTGTCTAAGGCAGGCTTTGAACTCAGGTCTTCTTGATTCCAAGCCCATTGCTAGATACATTTCATAGGGGCAGAACTAACATCATAAATAGGTGGAGCCACATGGTCTTATAGATTCTAAGGATACTCTCTTGAATAAAACTATATCCTCCTCACTGGCCCTTTAGAGCTGCTAGATATTCCGTCATTAGAGATCCATTCCTTTGAGTTAACAAGCGTCCTCTTTTAAGATGTAAAATCTCCTGGGAGGTACCCCTTTTGAGAGCTGATCACACTTTAACCATTAGATTCCTATTAGTTGCCAGCTGAAGTTCTAACCCAAGGGAATGGGAATTTTAATGTAGGATGGGGGTTGGGCTGAGGGTGGGGAAAAGGTTAAAAAGAGAAATTTTAGAGGCAGTATATGGTCCTCTAGATAGAAGTCTGGGTAGGGCATGGAGTGGAGAGCTCTGGACAGTTGGACAGCAGCATAAGCCCTTGAGGCAGCCAGGGGCAGAACATCCTTCTAGTTGTTACATTATATTTACTTTCTTGAATGCAACATTATCATTTCCTCTTAATATGATATAAACTCCTTGAAGGCAAGGTCAATTTCATTTTTGTCTTTGTTATCTCCATCACCTAGCACAAGTGCTTGGCATATATGTAATAGGCACTTATTGTAATAACACTGATGACAGTAGTAATAACAACAATAATAGCTAACACTTGTATAGTGCTTACTATGTGTGAACATAGTATGTGTACACAACTACACTGTGTAATTGTAAGTGCTCTTACAGTTATTATCTCATTTGATCTTCACAACAACACCAAGATGTGGGTGCTATTATTATCATCCTCGTTTTACAGATGAGGAAACTGAGGCAAACAGGGTAAGTGACTTGCCCAGGGTCACACAGCTAGTGAGTGTCTGAGGCAGGCATCAAGCCCAAGTGTTCCTAAGTCATAGAAAGTAAGAACTGGATGGAAATTTAGAAATTATTGGTTCTGTCACGATTTCTTACAGCAGTGACAAGTTTCTGTTTCTGCCTCTTAGTTTTTTGTGGTTTTTTTTTTGGTTTGTTTTTTGTCTCTTGGACAAGCTTGTCTTTCTCCCCCAGTCTGTCTTTGTTTAAGTCTTCATCTTAGCAAAATCTAGGCCTTTCTATCCCTGGATATCTCTGTGCATTTCTCTTCTTTTTTCTATCCTGCTTTATTCTTGGGTTCTTCTACCCCAGGAATAGTAAGGTTAGGGCATAGGGGCCGGGGAGCTCCCAAGACGAGTGCATGGCGAGGGGTGGGGGGAAAGGGAGGTAAGTAGCCACTGGTTTGGTGGCAGTGAAAAGGGTTTTGGAAAAGGTGTTGATCTGCAAGTCAGAAGATATTTTTGTCCTTATTCTGCCTCTAACTAGCTGTGTAACCTCAAGCTACTCTCTTCATCCCAGTTTCTCATCTCAGTGCCTCAGTTTCTTTATCTGTTAAAAGAGGGAGTTGATCTAGGAGATCTTTAAGATCTCTTCCAACACTAACTTTCTGTGGTCCCTCCCTTGAGCATCTTGTCCTATATACCAAGCATAATGCTGTAACTGGCCCCTGGGAAGAAGAATAACAACTGATATTGTTATGGCACTCTAAGATTACAAAGTGTTTCACATTACAATGATCCTGTGAGTTAGACACTACACATGTTACTATTCCCATTTTTACAGAGGAGGAAACTGAAGCTCAGAGAGGCCATTAAGAGACTTGCTCACTAATCACATAGCTAATGTCTATCTATATGGCAGGATTTGAACCCAAATCTCTCCTGATTCCAAATCCAATGCCCTTTTCACTATACCACACTGGCAGCAGAGGTATAAACCCTCCACTTGCTGACTCTCTGACCTTGGTCTTGGCTCCAGCTTCAGGGAAGATGCTGTCTTTGTCACTGTTGCTGTGGCTGGTACCCATGGGTCAGGCTGCTCCCAAGGATGGAGTTACCAGGTAAGTGGGGTAGGTAGCATGTGCGGGATGAGGGAAGCAAAGCTACGGGGCCAGGAGCGGGGAGAACCTGGGGAGCGCCTGAGAAGGTGGAGTTGCCCATCTACATCTGTGGAGATAGTTTCCACACACTGGGACTTCTCTACACAAGTCAACACCAAAATTGTGTGGGCTAATATTTCTTGTGTCCTACAGTCCTGAACCTAAATCTAGCCTGCTCTTGTTCTCATTCTCCAGAGAAAGAGAGGGAGAGAGGGAGAGAGAGAGAGAGAGAGAGAGAGAGAGAGAGAGAGAGAGAGAGAGAGAGAGAGAGAGAGAGAGAGAGAGAGAGAGAGAGAGAGAGAGAGAGAGAGAGAGAGAGAGGAAGGAGGAAGGGAAAGAGAGAGAAAGAAGGAGAGAGAGCCAGGTAGCAGTAAAAAGAGGGGAATACAAACTCTAAAGCTGGAAGGAAACCTAGAGGACACCTTCATTTTACAATGGGGAAACTGAGGCCCAAAGAGGTTAAGTGACCTGCCCAAGATCACCCAGGTGGGAAGAAGCAGAATTGGGATTCAAACCTCAGTCCTCTGAATGAATCAAGGTTCTCCCTTCAGGGTGGCAAGAAGGCTCCAGTAGCTGGTATGTCCTTTTCCCTGGATCCCTGTCTATTGGGACCCTGGTGAGGGAATAATTTTTCACCACTTTCTTACGCTGAGAAGGATCTTTGGCTCCCTATGGCAAAGGGGCTTGGAGAACATTCTGAGGTGACTGACCTGGGCCTCAGGAGAGCTTTACAGTAAGTGGCTGGTCCTTTGCCTCTCTCTCCAGGGTGGAGGCTGAAGCAGGACTTGATCTGCCATCTAACCCTTTTCAGTCAGGCCAGCAGCAGTTCCAGTAAGTAAGCTGGGGTGGGGTTGGGGGAGAAAGGGGGAAGCTGAAGGGTAGGTCCCCGGGGCTAGAAGCCTGGGGCCTCCCAAGTGCTAATCTGTTGTTCCAATAGTTTGCTGCAGAACTACCTGAAAGGACTGGGACAGGCCTCTGGGGACCTGGAACAGCTGAGCCGAGAACAGGGTGAGCTTGGGCCAGTAAAGATGGACAAGAGATCTACCTGAGTGTCCCAAAGGACCCAGGGTGGGGAGTCACTGTACCCATGTCACCTCACAATCTTGTCCTCAGAACCTTCCCTAAACCAGCCTCTCCTCCGCAGTGCTATTATATCTCTTTGCGCTCCATGACTTTGACCAGAGTGGACAGCTGGATGGCTTGGAACTTTTGGCTATGCTGAAAGAAGCTCTGTTTCCTGGGGCCCATGCTTGGTCTTCTACAGGTCAGGTATGGACTACCAGTTGAGGGTCCCAGCTGGAGAAGAGCTTTCTGTTTTCTAACTCTAGTACCTGTCCATAGCTCTCTAGGGCTCTGGGTGGTTATGGTGAATCCCAGAGGGGTCAGCGATAGTGATCCTGGGAACATCTTAAATTGTCTCAAGGCCCAGCAGCTGTGAGCCCTGGCAATAACAGCAACCAACCTGATTGTGTTGCTACAGGTGATCAAAATAGTAGACAAAGTGCTGGAAACCCAGGACCTGGACAGAGATGGGCTGGTGACACCTGCAGAGCTGCTCGCCCTCCCTGGAGATGCTCTGGGGTACAAGGAGCCACAGGAGTCCTCTGTTCCACCTCCTCAAGACTCAGAACTTGTTGGCAGTCCTGCCACGTTGGCCATAAAACTATTAGAACAAGTCACTGGGGAGGCCATGATTCAGGAGGAAGCCACAGGCCCTGGAGGGGAAGATCCTGGGCAGGAGGCTAGGAGCCTGGCGGAGGCCACGGGCACTGGACAGGAGGATAGCATGAAGGCCACAGATCCTGAGCAAGAGGCCAGGAGCCTGGCAGAGGCCATAGGCCCTGAAGAGGAGGATGGAGGGAAGGTCACATACTCTGAGCAGGAGGCCCAGAGCTTGGGGGAGGACATAGGAGGCCCTGGAGAGGAACTGGGATACCAAAGTGAAGCTGGAGGGGAGGTCAAGGGTCCTCTAGGGGAGGTTGGAGAAGGGATGGAGATTATTGTGGCTGAAGTGGGAACCCTAGAGCTAGAAGAGCGTTTGGAGCCTGGACAGCTTCCAGGTGAGTTTGGAGGTCATGCAATTCAGCTGGAGAATGATGAAATGTGAATGTTAGGGATTAGGTCACAGTCCTGGAAGCCTCAGTCCCACATGAAGACATCAGAGAGGGGGCAGTGCGAGAGGCAGGGTATGAAAGTTCCTGGTGCTTCCCTAGGGCACCTGTCTCAGTGCACCACTGATCCCCCTTTTCCTGGTCCTAACATGGTGGCAGCCCTTCATTTGGTTCATGGAGAACCCAGAGTTCAGGTTATAGAACAATAGTGACAACCTAGCCTGAAACTTGACTGTCATCCCAGAAAAAGCAGGTAGCAGCTGGGTCAGGTCACAGAGCCCATGGGCTTGTGCTGAGTGACCAAGAACTGAATAGTGTTTGCCTGATGGACACTTGGCTACACACCTAGTCCAGGTGAATTGGCTTGGTACATGGGTGAAGGGCTTTGGGGAAAGGATGTGTGGGCAAACGGTCCCAAGTAATCCTGGGATGCACAGACCTGTGGCCTCTTTGTATAAAAGTCTGAGAGAAGCTGAGCTAGGCTAGCTCCAGCCCAACCTGTGAAATGGGAAATTTCTACTTGGTGCCAATAAATATCCTTCAATTCCCTTCCTCTTACTTAACTGCACTTGGACTGCCCCTGAGTGTACACCATTTCTTCCTGGGCCTAGCATCTCCCTTTCAAAAACGCCCCCATCCTGCCTCAGTGCTCCCAGGATTCTGCTCTGCTAGCCCTCTGAAATCCATGTTTGCATGTCCCTCCTTCCAAGTAACACTTTGTATAATACCCCAGGTTTCTAGAGCTCTTAACATATAAAGTGCTTTGCTCACAACTTCCCTGCAGGGTGGAGAATACTGGCTCACTTCAGGTTGATTAAGCTTTACTGTTAGTCTTGTTTTACAGAGAAGTAAACTGAGGCTCAGCAAGCATGATTTGGTCGAGATCATCCAGCTACTTTGTGGGTGCAAGAGAAAAGGTTTAAATGTGAACTTCTTAATCTAGTGCTCTTTACAATACCTTGGGATGCTTTTTAGACACTTTAGCAGAAAGGACTCCAATGGTGGGGCTTGAGGTAGGATGGGCCAGTCAGGAAGATATGTGAGGGCAGAGAAGGCTAGACTCCCTAAACTCCAAGCTTGTACTGGGGGCTGCACAAAACTTATGTGCAGAACCAACTGGGTCAAGGCCAGTCTAACAGAAGCTCAGTCAGGCTCCCCAGAGTCCTCGGGATCAGGGATGACCTGGGACTGATCTGAAGGTACTAGGAGTTGATGGGACCTATCTCATGGAGAATCTTTTTCCCTATGGAGAACTGAAGGGCAACTGGACTCCACCAAGCTCCATTTACGAAATTATCATCTAAGTTTCAATGGGGCTCTGAGGCAACCTGACAAATGTTTATGTATATTCTTGGGGGTGGGAAGGAGGGGGGCACACATCTGGACCCCTCAGGGATAGGAGAAAAGGCAGGCTATTTTTCACCATCCAGGCAAATCAGCTGGATTGTACAGTGGATAAAGTTTTAGACTTGAAGCAAGGAAGACCCAAGTTCAAATCCTGCCTCAAAGACTTACTAGCTGTGTGGCAAGTCACTTAACCTCTCTTGGGCTCAGTTTCCTCGTTGGTAAAAGAGATAATAATAACACCTACCTCCAAGGATTGTGAGGCTCAGATGAGATAAGTGTCAAGTTCCTTGCAAATTTTAAAGTGCTATATAAATGTAAGCTTAATTTACACTCCAGGAACCTGTGATTTTGTGGCAGCCCCTCCTGCTTGGAGGATCACCTCCAAGGGGATCTGTGACCTGCCTGTTGATGAACCTCCAAAGACAACTAGGCTGGACTTTGGACAGCAGAGTCCCTGAGCCTCTCCTTGAAATCTGCTCATGTTGGTGGCAGTGGCAGGACCTTGTGCTCCCCCAGTTTAGCCTTTGGGGATCCCTGTCCCCCTCCATGTCACAAGGAGATATTCTACTTTAGTAAAGGAAAATACCATATAAATGCAAACCTTTTATTTTTCCTTCCTAGAGTTTCAGATATCAGACAAAAGTGAATGTGCCTAGAGCCTGCCATGAGCCCTTATCACAGAGCATATACTAAGTGACTCTGGCCTGGGAGGAGGTTACTCCCGCCAGGATGAATGGGAGTGCATCACATGCAACCCCTGCAATGTCCCTAGAGAGCCTTCAGCCTCAGCCAGATTCAATCCTTGCAAGACATTAAAGGCCAGATGCTGGCTTGGTGGAAGAATGTTTATTTGGCTTGAAGAGAACCAAACAGCTGAGAACGGAAGTGTGGTAGGGCTGGGGAGCTCCAGCAAACTGGATGGCCCTGACCCCAGGGCAGGCAGAGACAGCCAGCAATGCCCTGGCTTCCTTACTCCCCTACAGCCAGCTGAGGTTGCGCCTTCTGATGGCTGGTGCCTTCACACAATTCCATCATAGCCTTGTATTCCACACTTCTTGCCTGCTATTTGGCAACCAAAAGTCAATGCCTCTTGCATGCTTTTCCCTGGAAGAAGGGCAAGTAACTCAGTGGCTCTCACTCAGCATCCACCAGAAGAGTCCTCAGCTTCACCATTATAACCCCTCACTCCACCCTCCAAAGTCCCTGCCCTTAGGCTCACGTGGCAGTACTCACCCTGGGACAGGCTGAAGATGACAGAGGCATTGAAGGTGTCTCCGGCCCCCAGGGTGTCTACCAGTTGGGGTGGCGGGAACGCATCAGAGTGCAGGAGCTGTCCATCGGGGCCCAAGGCATCTGCCCCCTCCTCTGCCCACGCACATACTAGCACAGCCCTATAGGATACTCCACTCAGCACAAGGAGAAACCCAAGAGAACTCAAATATGGGAAGAAAGCCCAGAGATACAGGCAAGGCAGGGTATTTCACAACTACAGACTTTCATGCATCATCCTGGATACCAAACACACACACCAAGCCCCCTTTGCCCAATGGCCCTGGCTTATTCCAAAGGACCAGGAATCCCTGAGGAGTCCCACCCTGCTTCAGACCGTTCCCAGCTCACCCTTTCCCTACACGGTTGTACAATCCCTTTAGGGTTTCAGCTGCTGACCGAAACCCCATGTGCCTGGCCACGTCCTTGCTGACAAAAACCTAGTAAAAGAGGAGATAGTTGAGAGGACTAGTTAACCTAACACCAACCTCCCAACCCTGTCCCTATCTACTCAACCACTGCACTCCTGGGCTGTTCCCAGCTTCACCCTCTGCCCACATCTGTACAATCTTAGCCCTGGCCAATCCTGTATAATGGGAGGAAACAGGGTGAAGTAGAAAGGCCCTTGGACTAGGACTCAAAAGTCCTGGGCTCAGGTTCTAGCTCTGAGATTTGAGACTTTGCTGAACCTCAGTTTCCTTATCTGTAAAATGGAGATGACAATACTTGGCATGCTTATATCACAAGGTTGTGGTGACTATCAAATGATACGTATATGAAAGCAATTCCCAAAACATGAAAAGCATTATGCAAACATTAGGTTTTATTATTAGTGTGTGCTTGTAGGTTGTTACTACTACCAATGTGTGTAGTGTGTGTGTGTGTGTGTAGGGGTGGCTAACAGACTGAGGTGGATTTCTTGATCTGTCCAGTTAATAAGTAGTCATAGGCAGTGGCCAAAGAACACTGTGGCCTTTCTCCAGATACATACCTCAGAATAATTCAATTCAAGACATATTTACTCTGTCTACTAAGTGCCAGATATTGGGGATACAAAGACAAAAAAAAAATGAAATTGTCCCTGCCCTTAAAAACCTTATATTTTACTGGCAAACAGAGGTAGCTCCTCTGACAGCAGTACGCAGGCTGGCTCCTAGTCAAGGGCTGGTCATAGTCCTTTTTGGGGGAGGAAATCCTGAGACATTCTGGGGAGGGGGATTAGAAGAGAAAGGGATGAACTCAGTTCATTCTAGATCTGTTAGGATGATGGCGGAACAGATTAGGGCCCCCAGGTTAGTCCACTATCCTGAGCAGCCCCTGGATCTGGGGCAGAAGATATCTCCACGTGTGATGGAGAGAAACTGTTCCCAATATGGCCAGTCTGGCCCGTGATGCTGGCTGCTCCTCTCTCCACCCCCCATCCTGCAAGCCATCTGACCTCCAAGCCATGGTAATGTCACCAAGAGGGGAACTCTGGGGCACGGGAATCCTGGTGTGCATTCAGTGGGTAGAGATATTGGGCACTACCAAGGGGCAGCACATCATTGATATGCCAACACGCAGTTCTTAACAAAAGGTCCACCTAGAGGAGGTCAGGGTCTGGGATTTGTTTGGTACCAGCAACTCTGCTCTTCCTCTTCTGATTCTCCCTTTCTCAAACAGTGCGAGTCATAAAGCCATAGGATCACAGATGTAGAGCAGGAGGGCACCTTAGAGACTCTCTACTCCAACCTTCCTATTTTATAGTTGAGGAACTGAGGCCGAGAGAGATTTAAGTGACTTGCCCAAGGTCACACATCCTACTAGGCTGGATCTGAACGAATCCAGGTCTTTCTGACTCTAAATCCAGCACCCTGTCCACTAGCTCTATCTCCCAGGGCCTGTCTGCAGGATGATGGTGCTCCCAGGTCACTTGCAGGGATGGGATTGGGCCGCTGGCAGCAGAAGAGGTAAGGAGAACTTGGTGCTAGCACAGGCCACGGTGGAAACTACTGATTATGGTCTCCTAAGGCACTCACCACATCCCCATAGGCAAACAGCTGGTATAACTCTTCCCTGGGTTTCTCCACCTCCACAGATATTGTGATCTGCTGCTCTTTGGGAAGCTTCTTGTTGTGCTGCTCTATCCGCTGCAGCATCTTGACCTGCTCAGATGCATTCCGACCCTGGGTAGGGGGAGGAAGCAGGGAGAGGGGATCATACTACCCTCCCTGGAGAGCAGGGGGACAGAGTCTGTGTCTCTAACAGCAGCTCTCAGGGGCACCAAACACTAGCTTGTCCCAAACAAGTGACAAACTGTCTAATGGGAGCCCTTGAGGGAGGGAGGAATCTGGGTTGGAGGGCAGGGCAACTGGCCTAGAGCTCCAATCTGATCACAGGACGACTGTCACTAGCCCTCAAAAGGCTGCCAAGTATGACAGAATGAACGCCAGCAGGCCTCAACAAAGAAGCCAGGCTGCATGGGCATCAACTAAGACCAGCTCTGAGCTCTCTGCTCCTCCTACCAACACAAAAGCAAGTAGCCAGATTCAAACTCAAGTTTCAGTATTTGAGACTCAACACATGAGGCTTTTAGGGGTCTATTTCCTAATAATTTCATTCTTGGTCCCTAGGGGATTCAAGACCCGAGGCTAGTTAGCCCTCACCACAGGTGACAGACACATAGACAACAAATGGCTAGCAGACAACGAAGTCCCTGGGTCTGTGTTCTTGTGGAAGAATGGAAGTATGGAAAAAAGGTAAGCGTTAGTCTGAGTCCTTAGAGACTTGAGTAGGGCTTACCTCAAAGTGGATCCACTTGAACCGGTTCAGGTCAACCTTTTCAAAGTCCTTTGCAGACACATCTGGCAAGTTTCTGAACAGTGAGTGAGGGATGGAGGGGAGAGAGAGGTGAGATGCGGAATAATCAGAGAGGCCAGGAAGCTCTGGCCTTCTACCCCAATTCCCAGCCCTAGTGCTACATTACAGCATAGTCAAAACAATTTTTTTTGCACATTGCTAAAAGATCAGACTCTCTCCAAAAAGGTATGTTCGAGAATGAGGTAGTAGAGAGAATCTGTTATTTTGAATTTTCCTGCCAAGATGGGGTGATCCCTACATCTGTGCTGGCATTTACCCTAATAAGGCATTAAATTCAGAATGCAGTACTCTTGAATTGTAAACCAAGCATCTTAGGAGGTCCCCACAAATCATATCTAGCTCTCCAACGGAGGACCTGTTAGGGACTAGAGAATCCCTGATATGGATGGCCATTTGTTTTTGGGTTACCTAGGAAAGCAATTAAAGCTCAATCTTCAAGTAAGAGGGTCTAAGTTAATATTTCACTGTCTCTAGAGCCCTGAGCATGCCCCTGATGGGAAGCTGGAGGGCATTACACCCCATCTCTCCCTCAGGCATGGCACATGTGATAAGCTCTGGATAGATAAAAGTGACTTTGATCACGAAAATCTCTGAATTTCCATCTATCTAACCCTGGCTCAGCCCAAGACTCCTCCCCAAAACTTCTGGACACATGTTGGGGAGTGGGGCTTATAGGGAAAGACCAGCTAGAGGATCTGCATGGGCTCTAGATAACTAATACAATCTCACCTATAGTCAGTCCACCCTCCTAGAAGGCAGAGCTTAGGAGAAGAGAGACCTTCATCTCTAAGGCATCTGTGGTCCAACCCAGGCAGTCTATAGGACAGCTCTCACTCTCCAGTTCTGGGGATCTTGAGGCAATTACTAAGACCAGTGAAGGGAGGATGCCTCTGCTTCCAGAACCCTCTGTGCCAAGCACAATGATAAAGCATGGTCTCTTCTATGAGAACTCTCTCTATGGGCAACCCAATCTCAGCTGGGTGTCAGGATGCAGGTAACAAGAGTTCTGGGACTGGCTACTAAGAATGACAGGAATGGGCTGATCTTCCCCAAACTGAATGGGCACATTGCCCTCCATTACATAATACCCCCTTCCCCCAAACCCATGTGGCTTTAAGATAATTTTTCTTTACCCAAATGCAGGGGCTGATTAGCTAATTATGAAGGAATCAGAACACAAATTAAATTACTTAAGTTCCCAACCATCTACACTGTTATACAAAGGCCAAACCACAAGGCTGAGCAACATCCATTCACTCCCTCCCTAATCAGAGATGATTCAAAATCACTTTCTGGCTCATCGCTGGGGCAATTACAAGCAATGGGAAAGATCAGGAAAGTGGACAGCAGAGATGCCCACAATGGCCTGTGAGGGAAGAAAGAGGAGCTGATTGGTGGGTTGTGCCAGGGACTAGCCTTACGTGTCATAGAGGATAATGGTACGGGAACCATTGGAGTTGTTGACGATGCAGCAGGAGCAAGGTGTTTCGCCCTTGTTCTGCCATGCCACCTGCGAGACGTCCACGCCCCGATACTTAAAGTCAGTCACCAGGAAGCTTGGGGTGGAGCATGAGGTCATGGGATGTAGGGGGGAGGGGGAGACACAGGTTAGAGCCTACGGATGGTACGGCCCTTCCATGGCGACTGGAAGCATGCCTTAGAACACCTGGGGTACTGTCTGGCAAGAGAAGAGTCCTGGCCTAGGCTCTGGGCACATCTTTGTTAATGGGAACAGATGTACACACCTGTTAGCATGCAGGATGGTGCGGCTGCCAGTGGCTGCACTGGTGATGACAGTGGAGATGGGGATGGAGCCCACACGCTGGGGGACTGTGTAGCGCAGATCCACAGAGTATCGGCGAAGGTCATCCAAGACAAAGCTGCCAGGTGTGGGGGGAGTACCACACTGGGGAGCAGTTTGACAAAGGGCCTGGGGGCAGGAGGGGAGCTGACAGGAACACTCGGGGCCCTGGAAAGCAGGTGAAGGATAGGACAGCAAGCAGCACAGGCAAAGACAAGGGCAAGGAAGCCCGGAACCACCCCAGGTCATGCAAGAGGCAAGAAGGAGCAGATGTGGAAGCAGCAAAATGGTGTCTGGAGAGGGGCAGCGGGGACGGTAGTTAGGATAACTTTCTTTAGGGGACCTCGCACAAAACAAAATCTGAACTCTTCCTTTAGTCCCTATAGTCTAGAGAATCATCAGACCAAAGAAGGCTAGAGCTGAAAGGGAGACTGTCTATCCAAACTTCATCTTACAAAAGAAGAAAATGAGGCCCAAAGACATTAAAAAAAAAAAAGCTCACATTTACATAGCACTTACTATGTGCCAGGTACTGTGATAAGTGCTTTACAACTGTTACTTCATTTGATCCTTTACAGCAACCCTGGGACTTACGTGCTATGATTATCCTCATTTTACAGAAGAGGCAAACAGAAGTTAAGCGGTTTGCCCAAGGTCACATAGCTAGCAAGACCACATTTGAACTCAGGTCTTCCCGACTCTAGGCCAAGCACTCTATCCACTGAGCCACCTAGCTGCCTCACATCCTGAGCCAACAGGAACTGTCATAGTCTTGCTGGGTGCCAAAATCGGAGCAGAATTAATGATTAATGATCGAAGTGATACTTTGTCCCCCAGCTTGAAACCACATGAACACCCATTGTCTGGCAGGACACTGCCACTCCATTTTGGGATACTCAGGTCCCACTGGAAGTTTCCCCACCCCCAGTGGTTATGTTTTTGTGTTACATAATTATTTCCAGGATCTCATTAGTACAAAAATCCTGCCTATGGCTCTGTACCATAAAGGTTCTTTCAAGCCCTATAATTCTAGAATTCCATTTATTTCCATTTCCTTCTCTACTATATCCTTCCAGGAGGCACCAGCTCTCTATGGGGCTGATGTTTCTTCCTTCTCCTCAACAGTGCCTGGTAATATTGGCAACACCCCTCCACAAACACACACACATTTTAAGTAGGTAGCTACTAGACGAGTTACATTACTGAGGCCAGTTAGCATATCTGCTTCAAAATTCCCATCCAATTGGAAGTAGTCCCAGGAGGTCCAGACCAGGCCTTCTAGTCTGAGGGACCAGAACAGGAAGAGTTGTAAGCCCTTCTCTAGCCCCCAAGGAGCTTTGGATCTCTTCTGATCTTCATGATTTTCTAGGAACCCCCAGAAGCTCCAACAGCCAGAATGAGCTTGGCCTAAACCTACAGGTTTGGTAAGAAATTAGCTTTGGAATATGGTAATTTGAAACCTGATATCTTGAATTCACTTCCCTACTGGTCACTGCTCATTTAAGATTTCCCAGGCCATCTCATGCACGTGGCATTATACCCAAAACTGGGATCCCTACTGAAATGAACATTTCAGTCACACTCGGAGTACAAAGGGCTGATGTGCCACAGCTCAGTAACCTGGCAACTTGCCCTGCTGCCCACAATGGGCAAAGTTTGGGCCTCACCTTCCCGATAAACACTCGCTGAATCTGCAGAGCCTAGGGTCAAAGGGCTCTTGGGTACTTGAACGGCCTGACAAAGGGGCAGTGTGGACCACATGCTGCAGTAATGGTCAACTGACAGCAGGAAGATACAGAAGTTATAGCTACAGCTTTACTACGTACTTCAGTGGGTGACTTTGGACAGGTCCTGTTCAGTGGTTCAGGACACTAAGCAGCAGGATAAACTAACTGTGTTATTTAGCAAAGAGGAACCATCCTGAAAAACTGCCCTTGTTTTTTCCCCCATAGCCTCTTCACAGACATTCACACCCAGGGAGTATAAAGAGAGGAAAGGGAGGGTGAGTTCCCAAAGTCCTTTCTGCCCTAATCCAACAGTATGATATTCATCCAAGAGTAATAAAATAATTCATTGTAACAATAATTTATTAAGTGCCTAGGCACTGGTGACACAGAGACACAAATCTTAAGTCCTTGCTTCAGGAGGCTTACATTCTATTAGCTAAAGATAGCTTTGAAAATGGCAGAAAAGCATGTTTACTGGTCTGAAAGGAAGCAGGAAAATGGAAAACAGGAGGAAAAAGCCAGCAGTAGGGAATAGCCAAAGAAATAAGCAAGGGCAAAGGACTAGATATCTCTGGAAATAAAGCCTTAATAAGAAGAAAACTAATTAAACATTCCAGCAGCTAAAAATTCATACTTACAATTCTCCACAGGATACTTTTTCTCCCATCTCCCCTCCCCACTTAAAGCTACAGATGGACCTTAGACATTGTTTAATTCAATTTCTTCATTTTAAAGACGAGACTAAGGTCCAGAAATGCAAGTGAAATCCTTGAGAGAGCAGAACCCATAGCCAATCACTGAGGACCATTCTTTTTCCCCTTCTCTACATGGAGCTTTAGTAATATATCTCCCTCCATTAGGTTTGTAGAGGCTAAGCTTCCTAATAGGCCAGGTTTCTCCATACTCACTCAGCAACATGCCCAGGAGCCAAGGAGCCCATGAAAGCACAAGGAGCTCCCAGGAGGGAAAGGATGGTGCAGGAGTTGGAGGCATTGCCACCACGCTGCCATCGTTGGGTCAGGCACCTAAAAGGAAAATGAGGGCCTCTGTTATCTTCAAAACCTAGAACATTAAGCCTAAACATGCCATCCTTACTAACTTGAGGGCAGAGACAGTTCCATTTTTATCTCTATAGCTCTAGCACCTAGCGTAGCCTGCAACACAGGTGTTTAATAATTGCATGGTGAACAAATCAATCTTTTACAAGACTAGAGGGGTGAAGCTAACCACAGAAAAGGGCTTAGGGTCTCCACTCTCACTACAGCTCCCAATGCAGCTGGGCTCAACACATCCTTCATGGACTCCAGGGTCAGTTTCCCCCAGCACATGCAGAGGAATCAGCTGCATGCCTCCTACTGACATCAACTGTGATAATCAGAAACCCAATAATCTGGTCAAATCCCTGGTGTTTGGCCTGTCCTCACTTTCCCTTATTTCCTCCACACATGATCAACCACATCCTTCCATGAAAAAAGCTACAAACTAGATTGTAACATTGGCCTCTCTGGTAACTGCATCAACCCCAATGGATTGAAAGAGTCAAAACTACTTCAAAAAAAGGTAAAGATGTCAAATGTGCAATTAAATAACTGTTTCCTTGGAAGAGTACGAACCAGTAACATAAGCCAAAGTTTAAAATATTTAAGATTAGAAACTAAGAACAGTAATTTTTTAGTTTGCAGATGAAAAGGTTGAAAGGTGACCCACCAGTAAAGTGTCAAGTTTACAAAATGCTATCAGATGGAAGATGGTAACCAGTTCTCTGTCTCTACAGAAGACTGAACAAGAAAACACTAGGCTCAAATAGCATTTGAAGGGATTTAGATTAGTGAGAACACTGCCTGTACGGCTTGCAGATTGCCTTTTATTTTCAAACTCTTTTTACATTTTCTCCTTACTATAACCATAGGAATTAGGCATAACAATGCTCTCTTTTTGCAAATAAAGAATTTGAGAAGTTACAGTCAGTTAGTGGCCCTGAAGCCTAGGCCTCCTGACCTCCAAGTCTAGTGTTCATCATCCTCTGAAAATGCCAGGCTTGTTAAGCAGAGAATTAATATTAGAGAAGGTTCTGGAATCTTATTCTGAGATCTCTCTCTCTCTCTAGGCAGGGATAGATACACTTAGACCAGCTTTAGGACAGGTTAATCATAGAATTCTCAATTTAGAACTGAAAAGAACTTGGATATCTAGTTCGATCTTCTTAATTTACAGATGAGGAAATGAAGGTCCAGAAAAGTTAAATAACTTGACTTGTCCATGAGCACAAAGAATTTAAACCAGGTTTAAAGCCAGAATTTAAACTCAGGTTTTCCAACTCTAAAATCCAACATGTTTTCTACTGCCCCATGCTTCTACGGAGAGCCCTTCTGGGATTCTATGCTGAAAGTGACAGTGGCATTGGACAAAGGAGGTCTTAAACATGCTACTGACCGATTTCCAGGAGATCATTTCTGCCAGCTGCCTGGTTGGTAAATTCCTCTCTACTGCAGCCAAATGGTCACTCATCCATGAGGCATCTTAGGCCTTCCTATAATTACCTTGTGCAGGAACTCCAAGCAGAAGCCACCCACAGTTTCTTTGTGCTTCTTTCTCAAAACCCTGACTGCAAAAATACAGTGAATGTGTAACCTCAAAAATCAAGAGTTTGGGTGAATGTCTCATGGGCCTAGAACTGAAAGAGATCTTCAAGGTCATTTAGTCGACCTCCTTCATTTTACAGGTGAGGAAACTAAGGTGCAGAGGACAGTGACTTGTCCAAGACGTAATTATGCTGGAATTCCAACTGTCTAGTGATTCCCAGTTCAGGACGCTTTTATTTTGCACTTAAGAGTATTTTATTTTATTTTTCCAATTACATGTAAAGATAGTTTTAACATTCATTTTTGTAAGATTTTGAGTTCCGATTTTTTCTCCCTCCCTCCCCTCCCCCAAACAGCAAGCAATCTGATATAGGTTATACGTGCACAATCATGTTAAACATATTTTCAGGACACTTTCAATGACACCCTGTTGCATCTCATCTGAAAGTAACCGGCCAAAGCCACTGACTACGGGGGTCTCCCTAATGCAACCCCAGGGAAAGAATTGGAAAAATTCAAGTTTGGGAAATGGACCACCTTGAACAAAAAGATGCTCAGTCCATCGGAAACCCCAGCGTTCCTAGTCACCCCCACAGGGGCCCGTCTCTCCAGGTCCTCATTCTCGAATGCACCCCCGGACCCGGGAGGCTTCCCCCTCGCGGGAAGGGAGGGGCGCGGCGGCACGCGTGGGCCGACCCGAGCCCCCTACCTGCTGTCCGAGTCCTCCTCGGGGTACTTGTCCACCACATTGATGATGTCTAGCACCACAAGCCCCACGCACAGGATCTGCTTCTCTTCCATGAGCTCGGCGACGCTCTGGCCTCCAGGCGCCCGCACCGCCTCTTATCACTGGGGTTTCCCCAGCTCCGCCCCCCGGGAGCTCCTCCCTCAACCCCCTCTTCCCCCTCCCACCCCGGCCTCAGCCTCTCTCCGGGAGGCCCCAGGCTTCAGCCGTGCTCTCTGGCCAGTCTGTCCTGGGTGGGGAAAAGCGGGGGCAAATTCACTCGGGCCAAGGCCTCCGCCAGCGCCCTGCAGCGTACGAGCCCGGGCTGCTCGGTCTCGACCCGCGCCCTCTCAGCCCTCCTCCAATCACAGCAGGGCACTCACCCCACGTGAAAAAACAAATACCCGCTTCCGCAGCCCACGTGATCGCCAGAAGGGCCGCGAGACCGGAGGCGCCCCCTGGCGAGCGTCTCAGACATCGCCGGCAGCCCTGGGGAGTCTTTCCCATAGCTGGACACGGGGGCCTCGGCAAGGATCAGGACCCCGGACAGCAAGCGTCCGCACGACCTGACCCCGCGTCACCCGGGGTCTCCCTGCTGCCCACAGCCACGGACAACGCCCTCCCTTCGGCACCTCCCTCCCCTGCCCCTCCGACTCGCCTCGCACGTGAGTCAGGACCGAGCTGATTTTCTTAAAAAAAAAAAAGTCTTTATTCCTGAATAGTTTAGTACGGCGGGGGAGGGGGCGGGGTCGTGGAGGGGGCCGGACTTCGGCCGCCTCGGCCGGGGGTGGGAAGGTGGGGCAGGAGGCCCCAGGCCCACACGCGGGGTGGGTGCTTAGCTCTGCCTAAGGACAGGGGCCCTGGATTCCCGGAGAGGCAGGGGGTATGGTCCAAGGTCACGGGCGCCTGAGGCTGCGCTGGCCAGTCCGGGAGATGTCTCTACTGTGTGGGTGGCCAAGGGCTAAGTAAACGCCGGCGCTGTGGAGGGGATGGGAAGGGGGCAGGGGGCCAAGCCTCCCCGCGCCTTCCTTCCCCCGGACGGCGGGGCCGAGGCTAAGCCTTCTCGGGGTGGGGGGCGCCGGGGCCGCTCTAGTCCTCTTCATAACCCACGTCCTCGTAGAGCAGGGCCCCGCTGAAGAGCGTCAGTGGCTCCTCCGAGTGCGCCAGCTGCCCCCTCACGAGGTCGATGCAGACCGTGTCTCCAGCCTGCAGGGGCAGGATCAGGCTGAAGACCCCCAAAGCGCCGGAGCTGGGCTGACTCTCCACCACGGGCTTATTTTCGAGCCCCTCCGGCTCATAGCCACCCGAGTCGATGCGGGCTATGCCCTGGTTGGAGCGGGACAGCACGGCCTCCACCTTTTCGTGACGGTGCCCAGTGAGCACGGCGCTCAGCAAATAGCGGCCAGCCTGGGGCGCGGTGAATATGCCTGGTCAGAGGAACAAGGAGAGAAGGACGGGGTCAGCAGGGCGGAGGGCAACAAATGGGACAGGAAAACGGATCGAAGCCCTTAGGGGGCAAACGTGGGGTCAATATTTTGCTGGGTTCCCCGTACTCCCAGCCTGCCACAACCAACTGGAATCAACAAAGGCTCCTTCTCTACTCAAGTATTCCCTGACCCTCCCCCATCCTCCCTTACCAGTCTCTGGGTCATAGTACCCTCCATCGTTGAGTAAGACCTTGTCAAAGGGAATTGTGCCTGGTTCTGTACGGGGTGAACTCAGCGCGGCTGAGAAAGACACTCGAGGTATAGGAGGTGCTGCTGCTCCTTCCAAACCTGGAGGTGGGAAATAGGTAAGGTAGTCACTAGGGCTAAGGTACTGATTTGATACCCATGTCACTCTCTTCTGCCTTACCAGCCCAATTTTGCACTCTCCTACTCCATTAAATGCTGATTCTATTTTAGCCCCTCCCACTTGATTTGTTACCGATTGAATGAACGACTTGCTGTAGAAAGGGAAGAAGCTGCTTCCAAAAAGAATACATACCCTGTTCACCTGGGAGACCTGTAGGAAAAGGAGATGTATTAATTAGGAGCAGCACAGCCCAAGTTCATTTATTCAGTACAAAAGTAAAACACCTACTACTGGGCTAAGCAGAATGACTGGAGAAGAGAGGTAGGGGCTCCAGTTTTTTCCTTTTCAGATTGAAAACTCCTAGTCCTCCATCTTTTAACTCTCTTGAAGAATCCTTCCTTCTCCAAAGACCTTAGGCTTCCAGACTTCAAGGGTCTGTGTTTGTTTTTTTCCAGTGTCGGTGCTCCCTCTACCAACCCAGGCTGCAACCTCTCTATGACTCATAAAATATCTTCTCTTGTAGGACTGGGATGCTTTTGTTTTTGCCTTTGTTTCTTATTTATCTTAAACAGTTCCAGGAGCTTAATAAATGCCTATTGACTGAATAACATAGTAGATGGTATTCAAGAGTGAAAGTAACTGACAAATTCAAAAGTATCTGGCCAACATGAGTGAAGAGCCTAGCCTCTTCACACCAGTTAGGTTGATCCTTGAACAACAGAGGTGGGAAATCCTGCATCAAACCAATCAAATTGTCCTCAGCTTCACAGGGTTTGTCAGAGCTTTGCTCTACTGGTAGAGCCTTCAAGAATTCAGAGTCCTTGCCACAACACAATGAGGCATTGGAGAGGTTGTCAAGCCCTGGAATCAGGAGGACCTGAGTTCAAATACGGTTTCAGATACATAACATTCACTAGCTGTGTGACTCTGGGCAAGTCACTTAACCCCAATTGCCTCACAAAAAAAAAAAAGAATGGGGAAAGGTTGTCATTAATACAAAAATAATATGAATTTGCTTGTTATTTAGTTGAGTCAAAGAATACCCAAATTGGATAGATCATATGTGTAGAGCTGGAAGGGATTGTAGATCTGTCATTTTAGAGGAGGAAAATGACTGATGGGTATCAGTTGAAGGAAGAAAAAAAGACTTAGTAGGGGACATGATAGCTTTCTTTGGGTGTTTAAGGAGTTGTCATTTGGAGCAGGGATTAAACTTATTCTGTTTAGATCCAGAGGTCAAAATCAGAAACAATAGGTACAAATTGCAAGAAGGCAAATTTAGGCTGATGTCAGGACAAACTTCCTAGTGATGTAAGCTGCTCTCCTTTCAGAGGAAGTCTTCAAGCAGAGGGTGGAAGATACTGTGTTGGGTAAGTTATAGTAGGGATTCTTTTTGTGTCTGGGTTTCACCAGATGGCTGCTGAGCTCCTTTCCAACTTTCAAAGGCGATGATTCCGTGAAGCTCAGAAAAGTTGAGTGACTTAACTTTCAGTTAAGAAGTGGAAGAGGGGAGGTGTAAATTCCTAGTCATGAGTCCCAATGCAGTGCTCTTTCAGTTATACCTTGCTGCATCAGAACACGTTTAGGCCAACCTCATACATGACGCATGAATCCCCTCAACAGCATCCTGACAAATGGGACATTCAACCCATTTTGAAGACCTCCAAAAAAACCTACTCAATCAACAAGTATTTATTAAGCTCACCCATTAAAATGTGTATATACATATATATGTATATATATACACATACAGATATACATGTATATATGTAAATAAGAGGTACCTATACGTGATCCACGTGGAATAGAAAGGACCCTGTCTTTTGAGGCTGCCCTTTCGACTTTAAGGCAGCTCTAGTTAGAAGTTTTTCCTCATATTAAGCCAAAATCTACCTCCTTGTAATTTCCACCCACTCTTCTTAGTTCTGCCTTCTGGGGCTAAACATTAGGATGCCTAGAAATGGCCTCAGCCACTGAGTTCTCTTCTCTGCTACATAGTAGTAAGCTAGAAAAATTATAGGTTGGGTGCTATCCAGTTCAAATCAATTTTGAATGAAATGTCACGAACCTGGTGGTCCAATGGGTCCTTCTTTGCCCTCTTTGCCAGGTGGTCCAGGGGGTCCCACAGGGCCTGGAGGCCCCGGCTTTCCAGCAGGGCCTGGTGGCCCAATCTCCCCTGCTGGTCCTGTAAGAATGAACCTAGAGTGAAGTGAAGTAATGGGAGGGTTGCAAAGGGCAAAAGAAGGTAGGGGCTAGAGAGACAAGAGCTGAGAAGTGGCCAGGAGGCAGCTAAGGGGGAGATAGGACAGGCATAGCCTATGCAGACTGAGAGGTATATTAGGAAATAGGTGAGAATGTGTGATAGGGATCTCTACTTGGGTTAGGGATGCTCAACCTACATCCCACATATAGTCCACACAGGCTAAAGATAGCACATGAGCTGATTTTCAGTGGCATATGGACTGGCTTTTTGACTGTTTGCCTACTACTATAATCTATGTCACTAGGTCTCATACAAGAGGTGGTTTGAGGTTGTTACTTCTCCTCCAAGCCCCATCCCCCAACCCATGCTCGTACCCTTGATTCCATTCCATAGAATCACTTCTTAGTCCTTGCCCCTTTATCCTCTCTATAATCTTTCTTTGTCTATCCACTCCTCTGCTGTCCACAAACATGTCCAGATTTCCTTCATTAAAAAAAAAAAAACCTTTGTCATACTTTCATGGTATCCTCCTATATCCTGTCTCCCTTCCATGGTTAAATTCCTAGAGGGAAAAAAATCTTAATCGATTCACTTTCTCTCCTTACATTCACTTCTTGACTCCTTACTATTTGACTTTGGTCATCCCTATCCCCTCCCCTCCTACACATACACTAGAATGAAAGTGTTTTAAGATTACCATTGATTTCTGAATTGCCAAACCTTATAGTCTCCGCTCCATTGTCATCTGTCTCCACCTCTCTGCAGTATTTGACACCATTGAGTATCTCTCTTCTTGGATTCTCTTTCCTTTCTGAGTTTTTATGGTATTGTTCTTTCCCAGTTCTCTTCACTGACCACTCCTTTTTAATCTCCTTTGCTGAATCTTAATCCACATCCCTCTCTTTTTGCATGTGGTATACCAGAGGATTCAGTGCCTGACCCTTTTGTCTTCTGACTCTACTTTGTCTTGGTGATTGCATCAGCTGAATGGATTCAACTATCATTTCTGTGCAAATGACTCTAAAATTTAAGTATATACCTTTCAATCTCTTTCCTGAACTCCAATCCCAAATCATCAATTACCTGTTGGACACATTCAGCTACAGTAGTGTTCCGCAGATGTCTCAAACTTAACATGTCCAA